CTTATTCAAACTATAAAGTTAGTGCAACCAATCGTTCATTGTAGTTTTCAGAGCGGAACTTAGCCGCACATTGATAGATTAGGATGAAGCGTTATTGAAACGCTGAGCATCCGTGTTCAGCACATGCTCCAACATAGTTTAACATACACATATATACGTATTAGGACACCACTTTATCAGACAGGAGGTCAGCGCTGGCATGGCGAGTGAACTTTGTTTAGGTGTTGCGTTGGTTGCAATTCGATTTGCTTTCGTGGGTACTTTGATAATAGTCTGTATTTTTCTGTTGGTATTTTTGTAGTTATAATTAACCTATAGATGTAATTGATGGTTAGATGTGAGCTATAAAGGGCTCTTAAAAAATCTTTGCGAGACACTTTCTACTAAAAATTAAAGTTACAAATGTATTTTTTTATAATCAATATCGATTATAAAAATGTACTCATTACTATTAATATGTTAAAAATGTTTAAAAATTAAAATGATTTAAGCTGAAATTAGGAATATTTAAACAATTTATAATTTTAGTACGAATATTCTTTGACTGTACACTAATGTTATAAAGTTTGTAAGAACTGGTTCTAATTTAAAGAGTCTTTTTGTGTTGGATAGATCGTTTATCGAGGATCTTTTAGGCTATAAAACATCAAGCTGCGACCAAGAGATGCAAGGAAGCAGTGGTAAATGTGAAAAAATCGGGGAAAATTATTAAACGGCACTAGAAGTATTAAGAATGATTTCCCTTTAATTGATCTGATAAAATGTCCACGACAGTATATGCCAATCTTTTGAGATTATATAATTTGCAATAACGACGGGACGCGGATACCACACGGACACAGCTAGTATACGATATACGGAGTAAATCGCTGGTTTCAAACTATATCCTTAAATCTAGATATTCTCAGAACATGTACAACATCCGAATAAGTTTGTTCACAATGTGTTGCATACGAATTCAATAAAACCTCCCTTATACCCGCGAGCGAACATCCCTGTCGCTTATCTCTCGATGTCTATTGAAGCAACCTTTCAAGGGCCCTATACACTTTGGGTATTGAAATTTATGAGCCTTTCAAAGCTTTACGAAAAGAGTTTGAAAGGCAAATTTATTTAATTATGGCTGCTGGCGGTGCAAAATAATAATTGCTTTTTTCCAAATACGATATTTTCATATGAAAAGAGTTTACGTTTGATCTCGTTTTATGCGCGAAATTAAAGACGTTTTACGACTTGGAATTCGTAAGCTGTCGTTGTTGTTATGGAAGCGTGATTTTCATTTACGATATGTTTAAAGAAGTTTTATTATAACTAGCTAGGAATTTTAATAAGAAATAATACGTATAGAAGGGTAGTAAACATTTTGCCGGTATAAAAAAATAGTTCGTCAACGTTAACTATTTATTTTGAAAGTTTAAAAACTTAAGAACATACATTAATATATATTAGTTAAAGTTATTTGGAGATATTTTTCTTAGTCTCCCCGTGACCAAGCATTCGAATTGTCGGGCCAAAGTTAAAATAAGTTTAACTTTGGCCCGACAAATCGATAATAATTAACTTATATATATATAGCGTTTTAAACCGTTAAATTGTTTTATTTTAATGTGTACAACTCGCGTAAGCTACAGAAAGTATTTAACATTATTAAAATTTAATATTAAGCTTCAAACTTATATTATAATTAAGTAAAGTTACTAGACTTCGATTTGTTTGAATAAAAAACGAAATGCTTAACAAAGTAATTATAATATAAATCGAAAACAAGAACGGCCATTTTGAAAGCGAACAATACCAAAAACCCGACTTGGCATATTACCTGCAATGCAATCTACTTAAAGAAATTGAAATATCTTTCATTAAATAGCTTATTGTTGGAACCGTTTATATCGAATTTGTTATTTTAATATTTATTTCTACTAAACTTCCAATCTAATAAGTAGGTACTAGTATTATTATAGCTTAAAATTAAGCACTTTAAAACGCGATATATTAAGTTACTTAGAGTTAAAGTTATTTGAAAATTATTTTAACTACCGCCCGACGTTTCGGATGCTTCACAGCAGCCGTGGTCACGGGGAGGGGTCTCTTCGGCTGCTATATATCGCGTTTTAAACCGTTAAGATGTTGTATTTAAATGTGTACTACTCGCGTAAACTATAGACAGTATTAAGTTATACTTTTGTACGATCCAATAAGTGAAATTTTACATTTAATTATGTTAAAATATTGTGAGAACAATTCTTCCGATATACGAGTAAGTCAGCTAATAGAGGCTAACCGTTAACTTGACACACTGCCAATTAGTTATCGAGCGGAGATGACGAGTCAATGTCAACGGCCATTTATCGTTCACCGTATACTTTCATTATCATGGTAGCCCTCTAACTGGTCCCACCGCTGGGACAAGGGTCTGATCAAAGGATACACTATTCAGGCCAAATTGGTATTGGTAGTTGACACATACTGTCATTGTGACCCGCCACGGCTTGACATACTAAATATAATACAGAAAACTGTGAACGCTGCATATAAAAACCTTCCTCTCGTATAATTCTATTTAAAATACGGCATCAAAATAGGTTGCGTTGTTTTAAAGATTTAGAAATTTTAAATTTTGAAGAGTCAACCATCTGCAAAATAAATACTATTTAAATAAAACATTTTAACGGTTTAAAACGCGATATATATTAGTTAAACTAATTTGAAAATGATTTTTAATTTCGGCCCGACGTTTCGGATGGTTTGCAGCAGCCCTGGTCACGGGGAGAAATTTATTTAAACGTGTATTACTCGCATAAACTATAGACAGTATTTAAAAACGATTTGCTTAGACTTTTACATTTCTGTTGATTACAATACATTTATTTTTAGATAATTTTGAGACAGCCACTGAGGATTTTGGTTAACGCATAGGAATACGGGGCAGAACAGATTCGGTCAGGCGGGGTACATTAAATTTATCAACTGATTGCCTTTACACAAAGTTGGTCTGTGTAAGCACAGAAAAGTGTCTGCCCCTTTAGGACACATGAGGAACGGGCTGTAACTGTTTTAAATTGTTTTTTGTGTCTACTTTTATACTCAATTTATTAATTATTAAACATAAGCGTAGCACAGAAGTCTGATCAACTATTGTCCGTTAAAAGACAGATCAGTGAAACGGTCACAGAAATGTGTTCGCCCCATGCCCCACGAGGGGGAAACGGGCTTTCACTTAAACAAAATGAGGTCAAAACTATATTTTACTAGACGATAAGTAACTCTGGGAATTTTGATCTCTAAGTTATTTAACATAAATTGTATAGTAAGAACGAAAAATGCGACATTGTCCACCATATAAAATGACTATCAGGAGTTGAACAAGAGCGATGGTTCTAGTAAGGGATGCTATTTTTCTACTTGACACGTAATAATGCGTCACCCGCTATTAATCTTCATAGATCCTTCTTTTTAATACATATAAAAGCATTGTCAACATACAATAACTTTTAAACTTCTAGCAATTTTTTGCATTGTAATAAAATAGTCCTTGAGTCGTAAGTCTCGTTTCTCCCCGGAGAGCATGGCGTAAACACATTTCTGTGTCCGTTACTCTAATCGGCCTTTTCACAGGGAAGTAGAATTCGAATCCAGGATCTCTCGCACTTAACGCAATGCTAGGCCACGCGTTTAACTGCTTTAACGTTAAATTCGTTTAATTTCAATTATAACATATTTGCTCGTAAAGTGGTTGTAATTACACCAATTTCACCAGTATTTAGGAATTGCATGGCAAAATTGAGGTTCATTCGATGTTAGATGAAATACTATAGCACCTAAACAAGATGTGTTGTCGACCTTTTTTGGCTTTCGATCCTTACTTACAGAGACAAGAAATAAGCGACTTTGTTGTTTAAATTATCATAAACAACAATAATTTTTAGGTCAACCCTTGCCAATTATTTACAATGATATTCCTCAGAGACTCCTTTTCAGACATAAAAATGCTCAGTCACCAGGTGAACTCCGCCCGTTTAGAGACCAATTCGAAATACACGAAGGTACTACTGTACGTTGAAGAGATGGAATACAAAACAATTTGTATATTTTTTCTCGTAGTTTTGTTAAGATTGCAACACAAAGGTTCAACACGTATAACTATGTCGAGACTATGAATACTTTCAGGGTGGCTTCTTGGGTCTTGGCTGAATGCAGCGAGATGCTTATAATTGTAACCTTTGTCTCCGTTCTCTAAGAAATTGGACTTACTTATTTTTGTCCCTTCACATTTTTGAATATCGCGAAGTTACTCGGCGCAATTCAGCCAGTTGCCAATGTTTATAAGTTCCATTTGAATATATTATAAGGGATTTTCATTATGCAATGATGCATTAAATAGAATCGTTTACCTTATAATTTCCCTTGTATTGCCTTACATTAGTACAGATTAAGTAATGTATACATACTATAATCTGTACATATATTTTCAATCTGTGCAACAGAGTAGTACTTGTAGCGCCTCACTATTCATAAGAGTACTAAATACTCTTATGAATAGTACTTTAAATTTTAAAGTACTAGAAACAATAAATGTTATTTCTTCTAGCCACAAATTTAAAAAAAAACAATAAATGTTCCTGTGACAGTGACGTGAGTGAATTGACAGCAAATGACGTCACTGACGTCATTTTATTTTATTTGCCATGCCTCTTGAGTTTACCAAAATAGAAATTAAAAATTGCAAAATGTTCATCACTTAATTACAATGGAAGAAGATACGAAAATTAGTTCGGCTAATAAAAACTAACCTTTCATATACGCAATCCAACAATTACAACGATGGCAGAATTAAATTAAAATATGCTAAACTTGTTCAGCAAATGGGCTACTGTGTTAAGTTAATCCATGGATTATTTTGATCCCGAGGAAATACTGAGCCATCGCTTAAAGCTTCATCATAAGACTTCGAAATTGGTGATAATCAAAAATCTGCGATGAAAACATTTTAACTCGGGCTCATGATCGACTTGGATTTGGTACTGGAGATATATTTACCTTACTTTGGTCACGCTTTGATGGCACTAGGGTACATTCTGGAAGAGATTGAAAGCATCCAGCCACCCTTGCCAAGTGCTGTAGTCCTAATTGGTCATTTGTGTGTCCTGACAGACCCCCGCACTCTATCAGTAGAACAAGAGAGTGTCCGCATCATTAACATCATTTTCTTGATCAGCAATCTTCTAGTTTTCGTATATGACTTCATTGTCGCTCTTGATTTGAATATGCCACCTATTAATGAGCTAGATCCATACATGGGCTGACAGATGGCAGAGCTTCAAACATAATTTTTGAACTAAAAAAATACAAGTTCGGAAGTTTGTGAGTCTTAATCTAGCGTCTTCTAGTTCTAAAAAATATTATAAAATAGTGTCAAAATATCACTACTTTAAGTAAGTACATTTATTAAATGATGATACAACATTTTTTATAGCTTTTATTTAACAGACATAGGTAAGCTTTCTCGTGCCAAGTCGTTGATTTAAGGCAATATAGCTGATGAAAGAAGCAATTAAAAGCTTTGTTGTTTAAAAATCTCAACGTCAGACCGTTATGAGAAAGCGAGCTGACAAATTGTATACTTCGATGAAAAGCAAAAGAGTACTTGCGAAAGAGGTTCTTGCGAGCAATGAGAGCACAAAATCGCGGCTTTGTCGCTCCTCTCGACTGAAAGAAATAATTTATCGAAAGTCATCTAGATCTAAATATAAATACGGCGAAAATAACAAAATTTTAAGTTAGAAACGATCATTTCATATTTTCGTATGGCAATCATATGGTTTTTTCATGACAGTGAAGAACAGACTAGCATGGGGCTTGCTTGTGGGAAAGTAAAACACCCCAGCCATATAATACAGGATGCACTATCAACCTATTTTGGCTTTAAATATTTAAAAAGCCACAGAATCAAACTGAACGCGGATTTGATATTCACGTTTATTCTCATTATCTGTGGACGCTCGTTATCCAGATGGAATTTCGGTATTTCTAACACCTATTAATATACACATTTTTTTATTACTTAGAAGCATATTGGAGCTGAGTCGTTAGTTTTAAGCAATACATAGCTACAGCTACAAAGGTGAAAATTACATACCTTACGAAAAACAATTGAAGGCCGGTATTCGTAACTATTAGTGCGTTACTTGCTACGAATACCTACGGGCTCTACGACGTAGCACAGATAACAATTCATTCAATTGAAATCTTCTATCAATCGTTTCTTAAAATAAAACACTCAGCAAATAGTAAAAAGCAAGAAACACAACTCCATATCGTATTTATAAAATTCCGTTTCAATATATTCCGTACAAACTTCCCCAGTAAAAATAGATTAAGTCGTCCTACATTTAGGTAGTCGTGTTTATCACGGTTCGTTAGGAGTTCAGTAAGCTTTCGAAAAAGTTTTCTCATGTTTTTCTTAGTGAAATTATAAGAAATGGGCAGCTGTAACTTCAAGTTAACGTAACCTTTATTGGTATTAAATGGCGATTCTAAGTTTACCCTTTTATGTCGTTAGGGCGTTTCATACAATTTCATAGATGATATTTTTAAGTTAAAATTATTAACTATTAGCTGTGACAGCGACTTCATCCGCGTCGAATAGTTATTTTGGGTATCCAAATTTGTTTTTGCAAATCTCTACATTTTTATAAATTTAAGCTGCCCACGACATCGGTCGCGTCGCGTTGCTCACGACCCGTCGTTTGGGTCCCGTCATTCTTGCAAGTTAACCTTGAAGGATAGATATATAGTATCACAGACATTTTTTTAGATAATTTTAAGAGAAAACTTTGTTCTATACATATATTTTGGGTGTCTTGAACCGTTTTCGCAGCGTAGGCGTCTGAAATGGATTTTAGAGATGAAAAAAATCCCCCGTTTTGTTCGCTTCTATTAGTCAAAGCGCAATGTTTTATGGCTTATAACCTTCCACGATAAATACTCTAACCAACACAAAAAACATTTTTTTCAATTCAAACCCGTAGTTCCTGAGATTAGCGCGTTCAAAAACACTCTAGCTTTGTATATTAGTAAAAAAACTATTAACAATTACAAATTTTTGGTTTGAATCGGAAAAAAATCTTGCCCTCCGTATGAAATAACTACATTACACAAATACGGACAAATCATTTAGAGATAAAAACACATTACAAGAAATCTATTATAAATTGGAAAATTTAAGACTCGGGCTTTTTCGGACTCGGAATTTTTTCAATTTTCAATTCATATAGCGCCATTACGCCATTACATGTAGAAAGTATTAAATTTTCAAACATTACAAGAAGATGGATTTTTCAAGTTCTTATATATGTTTTATAACATGTATAACTTAAATTAGGTTACTGACATGCCTCAAATTTTTTGCCGATAAAATGAATTCGGTATTTTCAGCAAAACTCGCCTTGAGTGGACACTCAAAGTCGTAAGTAGGTGCTCGAAGAGTTAAGGGCCTTGACAAAATACATCTTTTCATTTTTCATTGATGTAAACACTTTGTCCTGGAGCAATTAACGTGTAACTGAAATAAGTGAGACAGGCTTTCAGGTGGAATATAACCTTGGTTCCAATTCCGGTTAAATAAGAGAACACAAAAGTATGTTCGCACGTAAATTGCGGCCGCCAGAGGCAGAGTAGCCTGACTGCAATTTGTATGCCTTGAGTTATTTATATTTTCATAGTATAAAAATTTTAATCTATACGAGAACAGTAACCAAAAATTGTTACCATTATTTTTAAACAAACTCATTTTTGCCTAAAATAATTGCGCAGTTTCATTGTCCTCTTTATTGAAATCTTTTTTTTGTTATTAGGCCACTCTGGCTCTAACAGGAACAATCTATCTGTCATGCCAAGCAGAAGGAATTAAATAAATGGAATTCCTAATATCATTTGAAAATGTTCTAAAACTATAGAAAATAGAGTCTATGAAGTGCGATATTCCATTTAATACAAGTAGAGCGTGCAATCATTCCGATTCAGAAGCATAAGCAATCATAGCATGTCAGGGTCCAATCAGAATTACTAGAAGTGGAACGTCTTCATTCACATATCTATACTAATACTATAAAGCTGAAAAGTTTGTTTTGAATTAAAAAATATTTTTGTGTTGGATAGAACAATGGGTGCCTGGAAGAGATCGCTACTTAGCGATAAGATTGCCTTTATTTATAAGTTAGTACGCAAGATTTTTCCTCATATGTATTTTCTGTGGTGTGTTTTATGAATAATAAAGCAATAAAAAATAAATAAATAACAATTATCAAGGAAGGCTTTGGGTTTTAAACATCGGCAACGATGAGAGCGAAAGCAGTGTAAAATGTGGAAAAGCGGGGAAAATTCTTCATCGTTAAGGGTTTTCGGTGCGTGCACTATGAAAAATAAAATTATAAATGAAAATGTTCGCGACAGTATATCTTTCAAGATAAACTTGCAAGGACGACGGGAACACGACAATGCGAACAACGTCCTGAGTAAGAAATGTAATATAAAATAGTAAAAAGGCGTCAAAAAGTTTCATAGCTGTGGATTTCCGAATATCCAAAGCCAAAATAGATCGACAACGCATTTTGTGTAAAATATGGTTAGGGTATTTTATCTACAATCAAGTGACGCTTGCTTGGCTGTCTTTCTCTAACATAAAAAGGTGAGGAGGAGTTTTGAAGAAGAAAACAATTTTGACGTCCAATATAACTACCCTACGTGAACGAAGTCGCCGGCACAGCTAGTAACTAATATCGAGGGTCTATATTTTATAGCAGTAGACGATAGACAAGCAATCGTTTCGCTTGATGGCAGTCCTGTTACAGCAAGATTAAATTCGAAATCTGGATCCGTTTTACACGGCTTTTGCATCTAAGGACGAGGTTCGTGACACAGACGTGGACCAAGCAGATATATTATCATGTCATTTCTAATCTTGTACAAATAAAATACTTTGAGATTAATTTGCAATTTAAGCTTAATAATGATTCATTTTTTTTTAAGTAAACTAGAACTAAAATTCTGTGAAAAGAAAAACAAAATCCCTATGAATAAATATAACGTAACCCTCTGTGTTCTGGCTCTATCAAGATATTCGTTTTAACATAATCTAAAAGAAAAAGGCGCACAATGGACTCCTGCCAACGTGTGCTGCTAACATATTTTATCTCTTGTTTAAAATATATTTTTTCAATTCTACTATCTATCATTTTTCGCGGAAAATGTTCGGATATTTTATTTTATGTCGAATGAATATTGTATGCGTTTGTTTTCGAGCCCAAGTATCAAATTCTGGAATGTTTTTATATTAAATATTACGATCAACTAGGTAACAAAGAACTAACTAAATACTGTCTATAGTTTACGCGAGTAGTACACATTTAAATAAAACACTTTAACGATTTAAAACGCATCCGAAAAGCATCCGAAACGTCGGGCCGAAGTTAAAAATCATTTCCAAATAAGTTTAACTAATATATCGCGTTTTAAACCGTTAAAGTGTTTTATTCAAATAAAGAACTAACTAACTATTTAACGGTTTAAAACGCGATATTTTAGTAAAACTTCGGGGTAAAGTTAAAAATCATTTTCAATAAGTTTATCTAATATATCGTGTTTAAACCGTTAAAGTGTTTTATTTAAATGTGTACTACTCGCGTAAACTATAGACAGTATTTAACAAAGGATTAGTTAAATTATGATCCGCAACTAAAGTTATTTTTACTATTCATATAGATTGATAATTATCTTTGTGGAAATTATGAGGCCTGCTAATCCCGAATCAAAAAGGAATTGCTATCGTAAATAATATGTTGGTTTTATGAGATTAAATGAGATTGGCGCTCTACTTTGTTATTATCGAGGTCCAAATTGAGGGACATGGCAGATGGGAACCGTGATGAGGTTTTGATTGATGCGTTAAAGAAATTGAGAAACATAAATTACTTTGTTAACTTAAATTGTACGTTTAAGGAACATGTACACGTTCAATGATGGCCATTTTACATTAAAAATTAAATAGCACTTATTTAAATACAATATGCAAGTACTAAGTCTCTAAATAACCTTGGTAGTTTCATATTAAAGTGTAAACAGACATACAGTTGTGTAAAAACATTATTTTACGACGAGTCTAAAAATCTTTTTATGAATGGTAAAATATCCAAAACTTCTTGACAGATCTTATTTTATTCTATCATAGAAATTTTCCAGGGAACAAAGATATAAGGAATATGTCTCACGCAGTAAATTAAGACATCTGGCCAAGATCGTAGATGATTAAAAACAGATCACAGATGAATTTTATTAATCATCGTTTCTAATAACAAAAAGGTTGTGAACGTCGCTCATCAAAATCGTATTAAATATTAGCTGTGCCTGCGACTTCTTCCACGGGGAATAATACATTTGGAAATTATCATTCACATCATTTCGCGTCAAAATTAGCTTATAAATATTTTACGACCCGGACAGGACTTGAACCGGCATCCACAGCGTTACGTGCTGTTGCTCTAAGCAATTTAGTTACTGGGTCCGGGAGCTATTATTAAAGTAGTAATTTAGTTATTAAAAAAGTGGTATTCGTCGTAATAATATACTCAAAATCATTTTCGGGATAAGCTTATATTGAGATACAAGCTTTCAATGATCAAATGGTTATATTTTACATCAAAGATACATTCTCCAAGCGACGATATTAAACTGAACATTCTCTCATAACAGTTCGCGAGTTGATGCGAAGGGAGGCATCTACTTGACAACTAAAAATGGAACATTTCCAATATCGCTGACGTCCTTAGACCCGGACAGCACTACGGAGCATATAGCTTCAAAGTTCTTTACGGGGACCGTTGAAAATCTCGCCGGGAACGAGAGCTCAACGTGGCAGGATGCGACCGAAGAATTTCTGTTCACCAATTACTTTAATACCACGTACGACGAGGTCAATTCGAGCGACGCCAAAGTTAACCAGAAACGAAGCATTAATGACGCCGTGTCCAAGAACATTACGGTGGTATTGGAGAACTTGCTGAAGAATTACGAGAAATCTCAGTTGCCGACGCACGGGCAAGGTAAGTTAGGTTTTTTTTTGCAAGAAAATTTGTTTACTTCTTGAAAGGATAAAATATAGGCTTTATCTATACCGATATATAGCTGAATCGTTTGTTTGTGCCAACGCGCTATTCTTAAGACGTACTGGTTCGACTTGAAAATTTCTTTTAGCGTTGGTTGGACCATATTTTATCCACCGAGGCTATAAAACATAGCAATAAATTGTGTAAGGCTTTCACGGCCATCGTTCAGCATATCATTGTTTTTCGGGCTGTTCGGTCGACGTGAGCGAGGTTCTACTGTCTCGGTGCACGAAAAACTATATCGCAATGCAAGTTACAAGAACGAAGAAACAACAGGAAATGCAAAAAAAGGGGGAAAATCCTTGAGGACTTCCGCTGCGTATGCTACAAAAACGGTTTAACATACCCACAAAATATGTACGAAAGAATGATTTCTCTTTCATTGATCTAAATGGATGTCTGCGTCAGTGCGTTTAACTTTTGAGATTAATTTGCAAGAACGGCGGGACGCGGACGATGCCGTGGGTAAAAGCTATAATTTCTAAAGATGTGCAGGAGAATTTCAAAAAGAAATTTGGATGCCCAAAATAACTATTTTACACCGATGAAGTCCCTGACACAGCTAGTAATATTATACAGTATAACATGAATCTGCAAATAATAATTGTAAAGTTAATGGTTTGTGTAATCTTAGATTAAAAATATATGTAGATTGAAATAAAATTTGTATTAAGTAATTTATCACAAAGATTTTACAATAAGTTAATAATTCGAAACTAAGTTTCTAGCTTTTTTAAGCGCTAATTTTCAGCCTGTCTCTGTGTGTGTCTTATTATTATTTGACAGTGATTTTGTAAAATAAAATATTAAGAGACTCATGTAACGTTATATTAATTTCGACTGTATGTTGTAGGTTATCCCACAGTCGTACAAACGAATATTTTAATACGCAGCATGGGACCCGTTTCCGAACTTGATATGGTAAGTATTCTTTATTTTATTGTCCATTGTTTAACTTACCAAAATCACTCACTAATAATATTAATAACGAAAATTACATTTTAATTTTGCTAAGTGTAAAGAATTGAAAAATCGAATATAAGTTCCTTTGTTAATCATTCAAATAAGGAAGTTAAATTTTGACAAATTTTCCAGGATTATTCCATGGATTGCTATTTCCGGCAATACTGGCGCGACACACGCTTGTCCTTCCTCGGTCCAATACGATCTTTGTCTCTATCTATCAAAATGTTGGAGAGGATTTGGCGGCCCGACACGTACTTCTATAATGGGAAACACTCCTACGTCCACACGATAACGGTGCCTAACAAGCTGCTGCGGATTAGTCAACATGGAGACATTCTGTATTCCATGAGGTAACGAGTTTAAAAGGACAATTACAATCTCATATTTAAATGTTAAGTTATTTAAAATATAACTTTAATATTTTTCACATCTTATTTCTAACAATTATAAAAAAAATGATTATTTAAAATAGGCATAAAATGTTTTTATTGAAATTTGTACGAATACTGTCTGTAGTTTACGCAAGTAGTACGCTATTACATAAAACACTTTAACGGTTTAAAACGCGATATATTAGTTCACTTATTTGAAAATGATTTTTAACTTCAGCCTGACGTTTTGGATGTTTTGCAGCAGCCGAACTCGAACAAACTATAGACAGTATTTAGTACGCATTGAAATAAAACTTTAACGGTCTATCTAAAAATTATTTTATCTAGGCCCCAACGTTTCGAATGCTTTGCAGTAGCCGTGGTCACGATGTCTCACCGGCCGGTCAAGGCTGCTTTAAATAAAAATTAATTTTCAAATAAGTTTAACTATATATATCGCGTTTTAAGCCGTTAAAGTGTTTTAATATGAATTGTACGAATCTTTTTGGAGTAACTTTTATTCTGTTTTTTGTAATCATTCATTTTTACTTATTATTATGAGACAAGGATACGTATCACTGAGATTAATCAATGCCGAGAAAAAGGGATGTAGCGTCAGAAGAACAAAGTTGAAAATTAAAAAATTTGAATAATTGTCTCATGGTCGGAGCTTCATTAATTTCATCGTCGCTTACAACTAAGTCGGCCATTTTAATTGGCAGCGTGAAGAATGCGCCCACTCAGATTTCATAGCTGATTGCTTCGCGAGTTGAATATGATTAATTAATAATAAAAGTTCGTGATTAACACTCGCTTAATAGGCTGTATTAAACCAATATTACTTATAAAACCCAATTAGGGTAACTTCGAAACTGTAAATGTACTTAAGGTCAAATTCTTTAAATATTTTAACGACCAATTTTTAACACTGTCTGTAATTTACGCGAGCAGTACACATTTTAATAAAAAAGCAGTACACACTTTAACGGTTTAAAACGCGATATATATTAGTTAAACTTATTTGAGATTTTTTAACTTCAGCTCAAATTAATATATATATATATATATATATATATATATTATATATATCGCATTTTAAACCGTTAATCTCTTGCTTACATCTGCCGAACAGCCCGAAAAAGAATGATAAGCTGAACGATGGCCGTGAAAGCCTTACACAATTTATTAAGAACGTAGATTGTTCTCAGAAACACATTTTAATTTAATTAGTTCAAGTCCTGCCCGAGTCAATTTTTTTTCAATTTATTTTTGACTTTCAAATTATGTAGTGCCTTCATGCGCAACATGTAAACAAAAATAAAGGTTTCAAACATTTTAATTATTCCAACTACACATTTTCTTGAGATATCATGATGAAGATGAAATTTCCATTAATTTAGCTCCCTTACTTATTTATATATTTGAAACAACTCTCAAACTTAACGTTTGTGTTTTTTTTTGTGTAATACGTAAAATGATTTATATTTGAACACCTGCACATTCCCATAATTTAATTTGTTGTACATTATTTTCCCCAACAAATGCCTGGAAGAGATCGCTTAATAGCGATAAGGCCGCCCGTTACACTCCATAGATTATAGATTTTTTGTTTTGTTTTGTTTTTGGTTCATTTTAATTATGTAGCACACACATAATAAGGAATAAATAATTAAATAAAGACGCTTGTCAGTGTCTCAATTTAACTTTTTGAATTTAAATCAATTTGAATCCCGCAAATTTTGTGGTCTTTATCCATGTTTAATTATTTTCAAAAACGTATGTTAGTCGCAATTACTACACTCAGCTTTACAAGACTAACATAAGTTTATCGACTTTCATAGTTCCTCTATTGTATCTATGCTTGTGCTGTAATATTCTATTTCAACAGATTGACTATTAAGGCGAAGTGTCCGATGGAACTTCGAAATTTCCCGATGGATCGTCAGTCGTGTCCGCTTATTCTGGGAAGCTGTAAGTACATTCAAACCCAATCGATTTTTGGTAGAGCCGATCAAAAGGATTTATTAGAGCGGACTGAATCTGTTGTGGGACTAACAGATGCCTTGGAACGTTATTCGACCTTATAAGTTATGATTTTTTTAACTTCATTATTTGTTAATAATAAGGTAAAGTTTATAATAATAAATCTAATAATATAAAGCTTGTTTGAACAGACTCAGGTTCGAATTGAGAAATTCGTTTTCTTGAACAAAGTCGCGGCCAAAAATATGTTTGAAAGAATGATACCTCTGTAAAGGATCTAAAAAAATGGCCGCGACACTATATGTCTATCTTAAAAGTTAATTCGCAAGAACGACGGGACGCGACGTCGCGTGTAACAGGTATAATTTACAAAATTGATACAAAAACAAATTTTACTACCTAAAGTATCTATTCGGGCAAAGCTTGTTTACAATATAGCTGAACAATCATTATTAAAGTTATAAATAAGATTTATTTTGTAAAAAAAAATCTTTAAAATGCCCTCCCTCTTAATTTTTACCTTGCATATTTAAACTGTATTTTTTTTTATACTTTACTCAAGGAACGATGAAAGTAAAAGCCTCATAAAATACATAAAATAATTATTATATTCCTTCAATTTTCTTTCTTTTAGATGCATACTCAAACCAGCAATTAGTGTACCAGTGGCAAAATTCTGAGAGCGTCAACTTCGTGCCCGGGATGACTCTATCACAGTTTGATCTCATAAGCTTCCCGTACAGAAACTTTACTTTCACAAGACGAGAAGGTAAGTTTCCTATATGCAGCTGTCTTATATTCAGCTTTATATATTAAGAAGAAATATTATTAAAAATTGATGAAAAGCAGTAGGTTTGTTGTCCTTCAAAATGTGCTTTCTTGAATATATATAACACTAGCTGTGCCCGCGACTTCGTCCGCGTGGAATAGTGACTTGGGGTAGAATTTTTAATTTAGGCTGTTTATTAATTTATGTAAGGGCGCATTTAGGGCAGCCAATCCATGTTGTAAGTGCTACTTTGCCGCAACTCTCTCACCTCACATCAATCCTACTCTAACTCCCACTCTCATTCTTACACTCACTCCGACTCCCACTCCTATTCCCAAAAAGCCAAAGAAGAAAGTTTCATTGTTCTAGGTTTAAAAACCACGAATTTTCATACAAACTTTCATCCCCTTTTTCAACCCCTATAAACCTTTATTTGGCAATAAGTAGCCTTTGTTCTTTCTCAGGCTCTAAAATATCTGTGCCCTAAATTTCACTTACACCAGTTAAGTAGTTTTGTAGTTAAAGCTGGACAGACTGACAGACAAAATTACTTTCGCATTTATAATATTAGTATAGATTATTAGATTTCAGTTTTGGTATTTTAATATGTAATTATAAAAAATACAAAATAATGTAATTGAAAGAAACGGAAACGTGATGATACTTCATGAACAGAGCTGAATTACAATATTACCCACCCATTTAATATGAAAATTTTCCAATCATTGTCCAGACATGAGTTAACATTTAAATAAAACACTTATTAACGGTTTAAAACCGCCAAAGATAGTTAACTTATTTACAATTTATTTTAATAATGCCTTTTAGGTGCTTTACACGACCTTAGTCCTCCGTGACCATGGGCAAATAAGAGAACTCATAAATTTAGCGTAATAAACTGTTGAATAGTGTTAAATGTATATAGTCTAACATTAAAGAATTATACATGTATTTTTAAAAACCTGGTAATCCAACACCTGTCACTCTACGTTGCTACCATAGAACCAATGAGTCAATAATAATTCATACTATCACATCTTGCCATTGCCTCATTGGACACATGACATTGGCAGAATCCATTAACAATGGGAAAGCCATCAAATAAAGAAGAAGAAGAAGAAGAACCAATGAGTCCGTCAAATACCTACTTCTAGAACGCATTTTTTAAGTGCCGTATGTGTCTATTAATGCAAATATTGAAAACTCATTATGATTAACATCGACAACGCCTAGCAAATCCTTACCCCCTGGTTATTACTTCTATAGATATATACGAAGCAAATATTGCTGTCGGCTCATCACAATTAATCTTTGATTTTCCTGCGGTCTCTCATCACGTTTTATTATGACTTTTATCAATAATTCTTATATTGTCATGTCCTATTCTTCCCTTATTTTGGTAGGATCTTGTAGATATTACGATAAATGTGTATTTTATATGGCTTTATTTAGAATGTAAAATACAAATCTATAACCTCTTCTATGGCTTAACGGTTGCCTAGAATCCAGGGTTCGATTACCGAGTAAATAGCTTCGGTCAATCAGGGCACTGAAATCTGTCAGTTTCTAGCCTTACACGTTTCGGACATGAATATATATTTCAATATAGGAGGGCAAAAAAGTATAATATTTAATTATAAAAAGTGAAAAACTCAGCCGAATATCGCTTTTTGATTTCAGTCTATCGATTGTAAAGCTTTAAAAATCGAAATAGTTTGACAGCACATCTTGTTTACATGTTATGTGGCTGGAAGTTCACCTAGTATTAAGGGAACATCATACTAGTCCGTCCTCGTCTAACATTAGCAAATGATTAGCTGTACAATGCTACCGTTAGATAAGCCCGTTAAAAGATGTATACTCTATCAATGTAGGTAATTCATTTAATTTGTTTAATAACTACTAACTACTTTTAGTAACTTTAGCGACACGTTCAGTAGATTGGTTGGACAAAAATTATCATGCTTGGCTGTTATCGTGTTCGTCGAGAGGTTTTGACAGAGGTTTAAATTCCGATATCGGTTTCCTCTCATAATAGCTCACACCCTCAGCGCCTCACTAATCACGAGGTTGTGCTGAGCGTTATCCGCTCAACGGTTTAACGCGGTTCCGTTCATTTTCACATCGTTATGCCGATTTTGCATTTAATAAAAAACTCTATTATTTCTATATAAACTTGACATGGGTTAAATTATATTTAAAAAATGCCCACGACAGTATATGTCTATCTTTTAAGATTAACAGCAGAAGAACGACCGGTCGTGGACTACGTCGTCGTCGTTGCGCCACGCTTAAATTTATTGAGTTGAGGAGGTTTGCAAAAAGAAATTTTGGTGCCCAAAATAACTAGCTGACACTGCTAGTTAAAAATATAAACTAAGCTAGTTAAACGCTATAACGCATTAGTTCATTTCATGGCCGTGTCATTTGAAACGACAATTTTATACAGATTTGACAATTGTGTTTGAAACTTAGAGTTACACTGATTGGACTGAGATCTCCCAAAGCTAATATTGTAGTCTCACCTACTTTACTCGTAACCTTTATTCATATAAAAGGTTGTGATTTCAATTCATATGCAGAAATTATATATCATGTATGCCAACGTACTTACGATAGTCCATACCCATAATTTAACCGGATCTCGAACCCAATACTGCTTTACAAATTTAATTATTCTTCCAAAATATAATATGGTTTTGTACACAGACTCTTATACAACAGTAATGAATATATACTGTTTAAACTTATAAAGTTGTTAAATAAAATAAGTTTATAAGTTTTTAATGGCTCATTGGTCTAATGGTAGCAAAGTATGCCTAAACTCAACGGGTTGAGGTTCGCCATCGGGTCTAACATGTGTCTAATGAATTTATATTTTTCCTGAAACAAGTTGGTCTTCGTCTGAAAATCTTTATATTAAATGGGTAGGAATATCGAAAACTCCGTCCGTACGAACAACAATTCAAAATCCTTTGCTTGCCTGTCCCCCTGTATCATAAAAAAGATGTTGTAGTTTTTGAGTAAATAATCGTTAACTGTCTCAATAACGTGTGAATTTCGTGCAGGTGATTTCTCAGTGCTTCAAGTATCATTTAATCTTCAGCGGCACACTGGATATTTTCTCATTCAAGTGTACGTGCCCTGCATACTGATCGTGGTTCTCTCCTGGGTGTCATTCTGGATACATCGGGAGGTATACTCCGATCATAAAAATATTTAAGGCTATACCGGTTATCCTCGCTACATTTCAAAGTCTAAGTGAGAGCTCTCTGAACTCATGAAACAATTAACCAAAGTATTTGTTATGTGTTTTTTTATTATTCATTGGGTATTTCTAAAGCTAATACGTACGTGGCTTGCAACTACATGGAACTATACAAGCCTTTTTAAGAAATAATTTATTTAAGTACACAAAAATAGAAGTAAAATTATGATTATGAAGGTATCAAATAAATAATTACTTGAAGAATGACATTTTGAAATTGAGTATGTGAAATAAGTTTTAGCATTTACTTAATTTTACCAGTGTTACTTCTAAAGGCGGACAAATTTTATAGACTGTAAAGTTCTTGACTGTTCAACAGTCGGTTCCATAAAAGAAATGGCCACTAACCAATACTACCCTACATGAAATAGAACACTTCAACTTTAAAACGCAAAAAAAGAAAAAGGTAGGTCTTTAAGATTAATTTTAAACTACGTAGTTCAAAAAAACAACCGCGATATTTCTTCTAATAAGTATAATTAAATTAGAATGTGATTAAATAAAACGTCAAGACGCAAATTAGTTTTTTTATGAAACCTGATAATATGTATGTATGAGTTCGTAAAGTTAATTTAAAAATTTGTGTATTATGTTGTATACTGAGTTTCTCACCACGAAATGTACAATGCAAGAATTTGATGTTCACATTGCAATGTACCATGTAAGCCTTTGCTCTAAGATATTAATATCTTTGTCGCGAGGAAGCTGCTTTCCTCGCTCTAAGTATTCATTTGGCATGTAAATCTTGTGTGTGATATGCGATGTTATAATATCATTAAGGTATTTACTAATCCTCGCCTGCATAATTTAGGTAGAGACTTCACGGCCTAAGTTTAACTTGTTCTTTATTATAATTACTTTTATCCTTTAGGGATGCTTGCAATTATAGAAGAAAGAAACACATATATTATCGTTATATATCTATATTTCTAAAAACTAATTAATCGCTTAAAACTAAGGCTTACTTAAACAAACGAATAGCCACTGTACTCCAATAGCGAATATTACTTTAAGGTGTATTTGTTATTTTTTAATAAAAAAAAGCGCGACAGATATATGTTACGTATAAGTGTATAATTACAGTTATTCAAATTAGATGTATAATTTTTGCAACCTAATGATCCATGCACCTCGCGCAATTTAAAAAAAACGAGGACGTGCAGGACACGATAGCTGAATTGCTTAGAACAACAGCACGCAATCGTAATTCTTTTCAATTTAAAATAGATTTTTAATCAGTAAGAATATATGCGTTGTGGTTTATTTTTCAGGCTACTTCAGACCGTGTCGGCCTCGGCATCACGACGGTGTTGACTCTGTCCACAATAAGCCTGGACTCAAGGACTGATTTACCGAAAGTGCGTTACGCAACCGCCCTAGATTGGTTTTTATTGATGAGCTTTTTCTATTGTATCGCAACCTTGCTCGAGTTCGCTGGAGTACATTATTTTACTAAGGTACGTCCGAGATAAATTGATGGTGATTTGCGTTATCTTTGAGGAGTTCCTTATTGAAGGGATGCGATGAACGGCTTTGCTTCGACAAGATCTATTTATTGTAAAGCATTTTCATAGCATATTCATATGAGCACCTACTAATTGAACAAAGACTGATAAAAAGACAATACCCGATTAATTAATATAGTAAGCATTAAACTCCATTAAAAATACTACTTAAAGTCTCGTACGCTAATGGGCGGAAGTTCGATCTTGTCTGTGAAACCTTTTTAGTTCGAAAAAAATTTACATGAATTACGCAAAATATTAAACGGCTGCTACGAAACATCCGAAACGTCAGGCCGTAGTTAAAATATTTTTATTTTTCAAATGTTAAAGTTTAACAAATATATTTTATTTTATTTAAGTTAAAACCAACTTGTTAATTATCTGTCATAACCTAATAATTGAAGAAATTCATAATACATATAAATAATTGTAATCCAATACCAAATTTATTAATTTTTCATTATGTTTTATTTGTTAGAAACTCTATGTTAGGTAACTTAAATTAATTTGTTTATAGATAGCATGTTATTATTTACCTATTATTGATTTATGCAATTAACTCATTATAATGAGTTAATGAACTTATAAGTTTTCTGTACATGTCTTATACTCATATATGTGTACATAAAGTTAACTAAAGTATTCATGTTTATTAGGTGGGCTCCGGTGAAATAGTTGTAGATGACTCGGAATGGGAGGAATTGATTGAGGAAGTGGGCGGCGATGCGTTTGCAGCCAGACAACTTGCAGTTAGGAGACGAAGCTCCTCCAAATCTGCTAATAACTATGTACGTTTGGTGTAATATTATTTGATAAAAGAGCTTATGTAAACTAATTACATATCTTTGAGTGTAAGCAATAATCGAATGGCTAGGTTTATTCTAAAGAATGAAATGAAATAAATTGTTAGCACATATAAACGAGTAGGTGTAAATGTGCAGATGTCATATAACCATACTACACTAATTACACTAATAATATACTACTTACGTACCGTTACTATTAGAAAAGGTTAACTGTATGCGTCTAACGTACAGCAAGGTTTTGCTGAAAATCACTGTTGAAGCATAGCAGTGCCGCAACTTGTGCCAACTCAAGACCCTTTTGCCATCAGTTTCCATTAAGTTTAACCTAATATTTTAAACTCTTTATTTAATTTTAAATAAATTAAGAGTTTAATTTCATAAAGTTTATAGGCAAAAGTTATCTACGTTGTTGACGCTCCGTTATTATATATTTCAAACTTATGACAAACCTATCTTTTTACAACTCATAACGTACAAAATAATATGTATATAAGTATTTCAGGCCAAAATAAAAGATAGGAACATAATAATTTAACTTATAATTGTTAGTTTGTCACTTAAAGTGAAATTCCCCTTAGAGCCTCTCATACCCAGCCCAAAGCAATAGTTCTGGTGAGAGTGACCTGCAAGCTCACGAGGAACAACCATCAGTTCGTCTGACGATGGAGCGCACCACACAAACGGAAAACCGCGTGCCTCGTTGGCGTCAGTTATTGTACTGCTTGGCTGGTGATGACCAATATAGGAGACAAAGGCAACGAGAAGCTGGTAACATATTATTTATATTGACAATTAATGCGTTAAAACGATTTCGTAGTACAAAGTTCAATTTGGAAACAATCTATAACTTGGCTTCAAAATAAAATCTGTCCAATTTTTCTATGTTTAAGACTTATGAATATTTTGACTTGCTATACGAAAATATTTTTCCTATAAAAAATTACTTTCGTTACATAATTACGTTAAATTGTTAAAAAGTTAAATTGTCGATTGGACAAGTTCTAACGAGGCGTATATTCAGATTTGGGTATTAAATAAATGTATAAAGAAATACGTCAGTTTTTGTCGGGTCATAATTATACATACCTACTATTTTGTCAGGCATTTTACTAATCAATTTGTAAATTTTCTGAAACATGTAGGTCTTCGTCTGGAAATCTGGATATTAAGTAGGTGGCAGGAATACCGAAATTCCGTCCGGGTCACGAACCATCGTCCACATATGAAAAAGCCGTCAAGATCAATCGCATTTCAGTCTGAGGGTTTCCGAATATCCACAACCAAAATAGGATGACCTGTTTAGATATTGTATGACTGTATATTTCACCTACCATCATGTAAACCCTGCTTCTATCCCCCCCCCCCCCATTGAAAAAAAACCCTACTTATACTTGGTGTTTTTAGCCGTTAGAACTATTTAGATCGTGTACTGTTTTCGTAACTACAAGCAACACTTGATTTTAGTAATCAATAAAGATGATTTTGTACAGGTAACCGAGGACATATCAACAGTGTATCACACATTGACAAAGCGGCTCGAGTCTTGTTTCCAGCTTCATTCGCTCTTCTCAACCTGTTCTACTGGATGATATACGCCTTCACAGATGACGATTTTGCCTGGAGTGACAACCCTATCAATCGCGTTTAATACACTTCTGAAAGGCTTAGCTTCACACCAGGTATTAAAACGACTACTTTCAACCTGTGCTCTTATAGCTCTGTTCAATTTACAATTTAATTTCATGATTAGTCTGTTGTTAATGCGAATAAATAGATAAAGATTTACTTTTCCATTTATTTTTCAACTGTGTGAGCGATTTCGTAGAATTTTGGGACTCAAAATTTGTTTTTGCAAACCTCCTGTTCGACACTATGCATTATCATATTCAATGCGAACCAGTAATTTCTGCGACTAGCACGTTCAAACAAACAGGCTCTTCAGCTTTATATTTTCGTATAGATAAGCAGTTGTGACGGCCTCGCTACCGCTTCTATAGCATTTGGCTATTTATAATATAAATATAATAATTTTTAAAAAGTATGCAAGTAAGCAATCTGATTTGGTGGTTTAGATTGACTAAAACATTTTAATTTTATGTCAACTACGTGTGTAACTAACTTTTTTTTATCCGTATAATTGTATCATGTAGAAAATAATAAAGATATCAAAAAACCTACCTGTCACTAAAACTACATACCAAACTATTGCATGAAATTAATTTCAATCGCAATTTTATTATTATATTTTATATAAAAACACAGGGCTATAGTCAATAACACAATATAATCACACGTAATATTTTATTCGCAGGTTGGAAAAATATAAAGGTACCGAAGAAAATAATTATTATATTCTACATGAAATACATAGCTTGACAAGTATAAACACTAAATTGTAAAAGATAATTTGTATAGATGGCGACACATAGATCAATCCCAAGGCTCTTAATATAAGGTCGAGAAAATGTTAACTTCGTTTGTAAAAAATCTAATTTAATTGAATACCTTTCAAATTTAAAAAACACCAATAGGTGAAGATACCAACTATTTTTTTTTCAATTTACATAATCACCAATAAATTTACAGCCATCATAACTAATCTGTTCAAATAGAAATTACTTATATCCCAAACGAATGTCAGAAGAATGTTTAAGAAACAGGCATTCAGGCGCAACAAGAAAATACTACTGTTTAAAACTCTAAGACTTTAATTTTTATCATTTATGATAAGTTGTAGTCAATTGAACTACTTTTAAGGTCGGTAAAAAAACGTTCAATATGTCGGCTGGTAGTCATAGATTTCCGACTACCTACTTCCGCCACACAGTCAGACATTTGATACACGTACAACACACAGTTTGACAGTTAAAATAAAGCTAACACTAATCTCTTTCTATTGAAAGTAAATCGGCTACTTATACATGTTGCCGAGTATATTGATCGAATTGTGTCGCCAGAAAAGAGAGCTAAGGCTTTTTCAGTTTTGGTCCGACATACAGTCTAAGAACAGCTCCAACAATATATATAAATAGACACTTCGAAGGCATTGAAAGTGGAATGTAAAGGCTTATATTATAAGTTAGAAGATCTACATTTAGAAAGCAAACGCAAACAATACAATAATAGATAATTAAGACTACATAGATTTCTTTGAACCATACCTGAAATTTTGTAATTTAAAGCTATTTTGACAGTATAAATACATGGCCACATAATTTTTTTTATGTATATTGCGATATAACCAATCAACTAACCAGATTCAAATATTTTACATAATTTTTGCTTTAGAAACTAACGCCTTCCATTTACTACAGAAGAGGATCTTATCCCCAAAATTTAAATATATTTAATCCAAGATAATTTGGTCCTTTATTTAGTCATCAATTGAATTATGACGCAAATGCGTTAGTTTTAAGAATTTTTGAATAAAAGCTTAGGTTGCGATACGGATGTTTTGCGCTGAACGAAACGTAGAGGGGGGTTGCGCATCGGTACAATCACGCACGTAACTGATTTGAAATACTATTAGATACATAATATAATAATTGTGACCTTAATTTAATTTTATAGGCTTTTAATATGCAAATATGAAAATTAATTTAGTTAATAAATAGGTTATGAAATTATAAATTGTTTTGGGTTGTATTAAAGAAAAAAAAATATAGATATATATTAAAGATAATAATAAACGTTACAAAAAACAAACAAGTTGTTAAGTTTCAACAAAACGCAATATTAAGGTAATTCAAAAGTTTTTGAACGTGACTGTACTCGAGAAGCAAGCGGAGCGTCGTATTGGTTTCTTGGACCACATACAACACGACTGGGGAACCAATCAACGCTCGCGCACACTAGGTTCACTCGCCCTGCGCCCTCTTTCCGTGCCTACGATATCTTATTTTTGACTTCTGCGCAGGATTCGTTCAGCGCTAAAGATACGTGCCGCTACTTTATTATATTTTTATACCTATAGAAATACATATCCATTTTGAAACAAAATAATTAAGAATGAAATTTGGTTTAGGAGTGGTCATTACTTAAAAGTATGAATACTTTATACATCGCATTCTAAATATACCATGACATTATTTATGAACATAACAGTTTCCTGTACTCCTGAATTGGCACCTAGTCTGCTCAGCAGCGAAGAAACATTCGCAAGAATTTGCCTTTCGCTATACTAAGGCAAAGCCGATTATTAGGCCAAGCTAGAATTGTACATATTTTATACAAATACATTATTACTCTATTCACCGAAGCTGGTTGCTGAAATGTTGTCTCTTTCCCACAATGCCCTAGGACGCATGCTGATATATACTTAAATGGCGGCTAAAAACGAGTTTCGTTAAATAAGATGGACTTTTAATTAACATTCCGTTTGTTTGTGTTGTTGTGTGCGTGCGCGCAATATAATCACTTTTACTTTTCATCTAACATCTAATTTTATATAGACATAATTGATAATAAATTTTCAATAGTATGCGAAGCAAAGTAAAATATAAAAAAAATATATTAATGCCATATGAAAAATTATATTAAATGAATACAAATATAAATAAACTAAATTATCTATTTATAAAAAGGTATGGCAAGGTAGCTATGAACTTAATAGTAAAAATAAGTAAAGTTAGTTGTCAGTTTTCTGAAAATAATGATCACGATATCTATTCAGATTTATAATAATAAGACCTTTATACACAAGGTTTTAGCAAAATCATACTTTTTCTATATGAAAATTTAAATATCTATATAAAACATTTTTAACTGTTTAAAACGCTGAATATATAACTCAACTTTATTAAATTTATTTTGTCTTCAGCGAAACGTCGGAACGTAGTTAAAATAAATTAAAATGAGTTTACAAATACATTTCTCGTTTTAGACCGTTATAAGTGTTTTATTTAGCACTATTCGCGTAAATTACAGACAATACTTTATCTTATCGTTTTTCTGTATTTCTTATTGTTGAAATATACGTTTTTAAATACACGATTATATATGAAACAACTTAAACAATATATCACAATTTTAGTACAATTAAATAAAATGAGGCAATTCCGACATTTTGTGCAAGGTCCCAAAATAATTTTCCATTACATTTTGTGATTTATATATCTGTAAAATAACTTATAGAGGTATCGGAATTACTTTAACTTTTATTTCGCGGTCTATGTATATAAAGTTTTACATTTAAGTTTTTTTCGCATTCTACAAAGAATTAGTTATAGCAGCAATATAATATAATGTTGCATATAAATCCAACGGATAATTTACGCAAATATTATTATTATACAAATAGTCCCTCAATAAATTGTCTAAATATTGTTACATTTCAATTCCGCCAATATTCAATTTTCTACCTTAATTAAGACTATACATTTTAAAATACAAAATTTGTATATTTATCTGTAACAAGATAATAAATAGTATTTCCACAGAGTACAAAAAACCACAGAACACGATTCGTCAGATAATTACAGTTCCCATAATTAATCGTTACATTAAAATAGTTCAGTATAATTTAAATAAGGAAATTTTATAAATAGTCCAAAAAATTTGACAGCAGACTAGAACACTGGTCACAGAAGCCATTACGTCATAGCTTATATACAGACATACGAAACGATTATTGCTAATATTCGTCCTGTCTCCCAAACATCAAATAAATTATTCTTATTCACGCAGAGTATTAAGGTCTCTCATACGATTGTACATAATAAATAATTACTATAATACACCAATTTACGTTGTATAATTACGTTTATAAATAGTTAAATCACAGATTCTACTTTCCTTAAAAATTACACTAGCTACGTATCCTTCTTACCGATGACAAGGTAGACGTCCATATTGTCTTTTCCCTTGACGTACACGCTCCCGCGCGGTTCGAACTCGTACCGGGTTGCGAGAGCGGGCAAGCACGCCTCGCCCACCTGAATCCTTTTAGGGACGCCCGTCGAATCCATCCGGGACGCAATATTCACCGCGTCCCCCCAAATATCATAATACAACTTAGTCGTGCCTATAACACCCGCAGTGACGTCACCGAAGTTATATCCAATGCGGAGAATAAAATCGAACTCGAGTAAATCCTGGTTAAAGTTGTCGACGACCTTCTGCATCTCCAGGGCGAAGTCCATCAATTGGTGAAGATGCTCGTGGGGCATTCGCAAGGAGTGCCTTAAGTCCGGGTTGAGACCGCTAGCCGCCATGAAGGTGCTACCTATCGTCTTAATCTTTTCCACGTGCTGGAACTCTGGCCTCTCCAAGAGTTCATCGAAGTCGGCTATGAGCTCGTTGAGGACGCGTAAATACTCCTTCCCTTTCAAATACGACTCATCATACATTTCGTTGAAGTTAACTATGCTCGCAAATATAATCCCGACGTCTTTGTGGTTTTCAGAATATTTGGCTGTGTTTTTCAATTGATCTGCGACGTGCCTCGGTATTATGTTGTGCAACAACCAATCCGCCTGGTTCCTCATCGTCTGGACTTTTTGTTTGTCTCGGTTCGCGACCACGTTGCTGTAGAAGCTGAGCCGGTAGCTTATTTCAAATTCCCTATTCAAGAACCAGACTAAAATTAACAACAACGCGATGTCCAAATAAAGCTCTTTCAAATGCATCCCGTGTTCAACGTTGACGACGTTTGTGCTGTTGCTCGTTAATATATCGTCTAACAGAATGTCCGTGATATTTGTACTATTTTGAGCAACACTTGAAATAATATCAATAGAGTCCAAAAACTGAGTATTGACTTCTCGACATCCCAACAGGGCTAGGAAGAGGAACAAACCCGCATAAATAGTCACTAAAGCGTTCTTCACGAGCCAACTCATCTGCGTAAAATTACAGAAATGTACGATACACACGTTCAGGAGGTACACGTAGAAGGATTGTTTCCCGCTCAGTATAGTCAGGGTGGTATTTTGACAAGAGAAGTTTAATAACACCGCTAGAATCGGTAGGCTGATTAGCAGACTACCCGTCAAATGCCACGGATACCAATTTGACAATTTCCTAAATACTCGAACGGACCGTCTCAGCGTGTGAGTTATTTCTGCAGGGTCCGTTTTCGTCCGCCATTTCAGGTAGTGTCTGTACACACAGAGTGACATTGCTACGACTTCGATAATTACAAACGCAATAAACCATCCAATAGAATACCGCCATTCCTTATACACGATCAATATGGAAGCTGCGACTATAAGAAATATAATTGAGGACACTAGTATATCCAAAGCAGTGTTGAAACGCGATGTCGTCAAAGTGGGGGGGAAATCTTCGCTATCATCGCTCCTGTGTGCCTTGTCTCGATAATGCCTCTCTATATCTTTCGTTTTGAAGAAGAGAGTGAGTTTGTTCAAGGGTGGCTGGACAAAATAATTAATGCCGGACCTAGCGTTGTCTTGAACGCATCTTATTAACTGGAGATCAGACTGTTTCCTCAGTTTCTGTAGAGACTGAACCTGTTCGTCGTTCAAGGGTGGAGGCAATTTCGTCCTAGACGGTACATCGAGGGATGACTGACTCGACGTATAATACCCAGATACTCTCTGCTGCATTATATCGACTTGGGACGTTGCCAACGAAACGTGGTTCAACACGAAAATCTGAAAGTTTAAAATACCCTCGATGAACGGATAGACACTATTCAATACCTAAATATATTTCGAATTCTAAACAACACGGTAAATGTAAATATTTATATGAATGGTTCTCTTGAAAGTATTATATTAATTATAAAAATTGTTGATATAAGTGCTGACGGTCAAAATGGAGATTAGTTTATTTTCGGAGATAAGATCCTGCTTCGTCTTTTTTTATGACTTATAAGAATGTTAATACATTTCGAAAAAGCCATCGATACATTTCTTAAATAATATTCTTAAATATGGTCCAATACCTGTTGTTGTATACTTGATCGTCTACTTGTACTCCTTATACCAGAATCTTTGCGGCTGTTGACCGAAGGACAAAGACTGACAATGTCATCAGGTAGTCTAACATGCGGATTGGGTACAGGTAAAGCTAACTTTCGGTCCTTTGGCCGTATCAGTTCTCCTTGAGTCGCCAATGTAGAGCTGCGCGCCCGACTTACAGGTACTTGCTGTGAAGTTTGAAGAATTCTCAAGACAATATAGAGATATATAATTATATATCTCTATATAATTGTCTCAAACATTTACAGACTTAAATAAGCAAAATCTGCGTGGATATTGTGGTATGAGCACCCGACCTACATCTGAGAGGTCGGGAGTTCCATTTGCATAATTTATTTACATTTTGATACTATCATGCTCTGGATAAGGAAACATCGTACCATAAGATACCACCATCCACAAACACCCATTGACCAGCGTGAGAGATTGAGCCGTCAATCTCTTCGTGTTTTGAGGACCAGTTGTTGAACTATTGAAAGAATTATGAAATAAAATATATTAAACACAAGTATCACCTTACCTCCACATTAGGCCTCCCATACTGAGATCTATAACTGCTACTCCTCGCAAACGGTGACATATTACTTCTAGACTGGCTCAAATATGACCGAATGTCAATTATCTCCTTTTCGAATAACGCCATCTCGTGGGTGCGATTTAGTTTACTGCTGCTCTGTACGGGCCGTTTTGCTTCATGAGATTCTATCACAATCGGTACCTTATGGTAACCATTATTGCACTGTACGCCATCCCCACTCTCCACTAAATGTATCGTTTTATCACTAAAGTTCTGCTTTTTAATTTCGTGCAGCGGCGTATCCGAGTGTTTTCTCAGAAACTTTGGTACCTTCCACTGTTTTATTTTGTTCGTGTACTTGCCGTAGCTTCCTGTAATGATGTAATTGAAAATTTTACAAATACTATTCGAAAAGTTTTTAAAACAACCCTAAACGCGACACCCTAAATTGTGTGAAATGCAGGACGTGTCAGGTTCAAATTCCTATGAAAATAAATTAATAAGCACATGTTTTACCGAAAAAATTTTATGTACCTTGCGTACGGGAAATTGTTGTTCCAGCGTATTTCATGACTTTTTTGTCTTTATTAAAAAAAAGCGATTTCTTGGTCTTAGTGTGAAATCTATACTAATATTATAAATGCGAAAGTAACTCTGCCTGTCTGTCTGTCCGGCTTTAGCTCTGGAACTACTGAATAGATTAAAATGAAATTTGGTACACTATCTGTTTCTACTTCTGTTTTAGAGCCTGAGACCTTTCTTATGCCTATATCGTTATATAGGCTACTTTTTAATGCTAAAAAAGGGTTGATAGGGGTTGAAAAGTGGGATGAAAGTTTATATGGAAGTTCGTGGTTCTTGAAGCTAGAACAATGAATCTTCTTCTTTGGCTTTTTTGGGAATAGGAGTGGGAGTGGGAGTTAGAGAGGGAGTGAGTGCAGGAATGAGAGTGGCAGTTAGAGTAGGAGTGATGTGAGGTGAGAGTTTGCGGCAAAATAGCACTTACAGTATTGATTGGCTGCCTTAAATGCGCCCTTACATAAATTAATAAACAGCCTAAATTAAAAATTCTACCCCAAATCACTAATCCACGCTGACGAAGTCGCGGGCACAGCTGGTTCAGAAATATATACTGATACCGAACAATACACGCTTGTCATTAATTGTAGTTATTTTTTTTTAGGATTCAATTCAATTGGGATGGGTAAACTCCTATTAAAAAAATTGTAAAACCATTTTGTTTACTTTAAACGATAGTTTTATCATACAATAAATAAAGAAATTTCGCTTTGCTTTAAAATCGCAACAATTCGGTGACGCAGTATCTACGATAAGAAAAAGTTACTTATTAATCAAATCGATATCCCCCTACTTACACTTATCGCAAATCTGACAGTATTTACAAAATCTGTATCGATAAATAAGCTATTGGACTGTGCACGTTCGTGAAATTTCAAAACGTTTTCCACCATTACACATATATATTTCCCTAATATGACCTTAAAAGTAACGTAACATAGAAACTATTTCTATTGAAGTACCCCGGGGCGAAGTCGTGTCCTACTTCGATAGAGTTTTATTGTATTTTCACTATTGTGATATCTGTAATGTGTTACCTATATATTATACTAGCTGTGTCAGCAACCTCGTTGGCATAGAATAGGAATTATGGGCTACCAAATTTGTTTTTGCAAACCTGCAATGTCGGTCGCGTCCTGTTGTTCTTGCAAGTTAATCTTAAAAGATAGACATAAAATTCCAAGACATTTTCTTAGATGATTTAAAGAGGTATTATCCCCTTATACATAGATATTTTTTGGGTATCTTGAACTGTACTCGCAGCGTACGTATCGGAAACTCACAAAGTTAAATAATTTTTCCGGTTTTGCACATTTCTCGCTGTTTCTTAGCTCTTGTTAGTAACAGCGTGATGTTTTAATACTTATAGTCTTCCTTGGTAAATGCTCTAAGCAACACAAATAATTTTGCAATTCAAACCAATTGTTCCTGAGATTAGCGCATTCAAACACGCAAACAAACTCTTCAGCTATATATATCAGTATAGCCCTTATCTATACTGATATATGTATGTGCATATAAAGTGAGGGGTCTAGAAAGTCATATGATGTTCTTATTAAAAAAACACAGTCTACAAATATCGAATTTAATCGAAATTAAAATACAAAAACCAAGTGGGAATTAGTCTGAATACTCTAAGTTGTTTAAAATTCACATATTATATATAAACCAAAGTGAAAAAGTCAATAAATTATATTGATAAAGAGAGGTAAATGATCCTGCTGTAAATTAGATCTTTCATTTAGTATTCATAACATTGTCTAAGGTATTCAAGGTCAAAGGTCTTTTGTAATATCTGTTTTAATATTTGTAAACGAGTTGTTTTTATTTCAAGGAGAAAATTCTTTCAATTTGTATTGAAATACTTGATATTTACCGAATTTGAGATAATCGATTGTTGTTTACGCGAGTAGTACACATTTAAATAAAACTTTTTAACGGTTTAAAACGTGAAATGCAAAGCAACGCAAACACCGGGCTGTAATTAAAATAAGCTTAAATAATACATTTCGCGTATTAAACCGTTAGTGTTTTATTTAAATTTGAGATAAACATCAAATAGCATTTAACAAGGATTTACGCATTACGGTAGCTGTGAATATTCTGAGATAAATTTCACTTGAAATTATCTCGCTACAAAACAGACATTTGTTACAGGAAATAATAAAACGGAGCTTTGATTAAAACCAATTAATAATATCGCTTCCACGAACCGTTGCGAACAACCAACTACTGCGGCCTGTTTTAAGAATGTCGTATTATATAAAGCTAATTGCGTTTTCCAGCGATACACTGCTGTAATAAGCGACCCGGTTCTTTGCGCGGGAAAATATTTTTTCCATGCTCCTAATGAACAACGCCCTAGCGACGCGCCCTGATTGAATACATATACAGCATATAATGTGTATGCCCTAATGTGATATAAATTGAGCGTAAACAGTTCACAAATCGTGTTTGGTCATCATCAATGTTGAACAGATTCTATCTGTCGATTCGGAACAGATTAAGATCAAAGAGATTTTTCCTTATATAGGCCCTACAATTTCGTTTGGTTTATTGATTACGTTATATAAGGAATGCTTCAGTGGACTTTTCGAGTTGTTCGTGATGGCGATATATACTGAATTGCGATGGCCAAACAACTCGAAAATCCAAGCAGCTTGGTATATGCCTTGTTTGAAGACTTTATTATTTTTTACATGTTGTGCACATGAAGGCACTATATAATTTAAAAATCGAAAATAAATTGAAAAAATTACGACTCGGGCAGGGCTTGAACCGGCATCGTCAGCGTTCCGTGTTGCTCTACCAACTGACTCGGTAGCTCAATTGGAATATTCCGTCCGGGTCGGACAACAACCGTCGGAAGCATTTAAGTTTAACTGTGTTACGGGTTCTGTGAGTTTCCGAATATCCAAAGCCAAAATAAAGAAGTACTGGTTTAGATGTACCTAATACGTCAGGATTCACCTTTCATAAAGGGAAACCCATGTTCGTCTGTCCTACTGTATCATAAATAAAATTTGCCGAGAATGGACAATTTAAAATCAGTAAGCTATAAAAAGCTCTGAAGTAAACATAAAAACAGTGCCGTAGAATAAGTAAAATTAACGTGAAACGTCAAAAAAATTTCTGCGCTACTCTACATTTACTTAGCACTATATACGTTTTTATTAGGCTGAAACATTGTTCAATTATTAACAACACGAATACCAGAAAACGTCAACGTGAATTATTTTCGGTGACCACAGATAATAAGGGTTTTTATTTAGTTTGTATAGACTATAGACCAAACATTTGTCTATTATAGGTATTTATAATGTATAAATACACTAAAAAACACAAGTGACAATAATGAAGTCGACTGGTACGCATTCGGACGATGACATAGCGTTTGCATATAATTTACTATTGTTTACTCACGAGTAAGAAACGGGGAGGTGGCAATAGATTTTCTTACAACAAAGATATTAGCAATCAAGATGCAGAGAGCATCACCTTCTGGCTATTAAGAGTCACATTATATCTTATCTGCGGGCTACGACTCGCGCCGCTGATAACTAAGGCTTCATAAATAAAACTGCGCTCTTGTTTCCAATACGTATTAAATAAATATTTACGCTCAAATAAGGGATTTTATTCACAAGCCTAATTAGAAGTCAATGGTATATTTTGCGTTTCGATATGAATGTAGATCGTAATTCTCAGCACGTTTCAACTGAAATTAATGGTTTGCTGAGTTATTTTCGGAGTATTTCATCGTAGCTGAACAAATAGTAGCGTAAGCCTTTATCAGATTTCCTGCAGAACTGGCGACGTTCTTCGCCTCGACGATACGTGTCGCCTTTCAGTCGTTCTACGCCAGCTCAAATTGCTATTTCGCTATCGACAATACTGAATATGCTTATAAAAACAAAATGGGATTTTGCAACGTGTTCAGTTATATTGGAATAATGTTTCATACTTTACGCTGAGTAAGGACACGCCCCCATTTGTCATAAAAGGCCTGAGTTACTAAAACGTATATGAATACAATACACGCATTATAATCGTGAGGTCGAAGATTCGATTACAAGTTCATAATTTTTCATCGTTATTATCAAGTAACACATCTTTTTATATCCTATAATTATTAACTTTACGATATTTGAATTTTTTCCGCAGTTAATAGATAAAATATTAACTCCAATCTTCACACCATATAATATAATACAAAACATTATTATTTTTTACGTGTCATTAGCTATCTTAGCTTTATATAAATAGATAAAAAATACTTTAGCGTCATAGAATAGCTAGAGTCCCGCCCGTGTCATCGATTCGGATTTTAACCACCGATTTTTCAGCGATATATGTGTTAAGATCTTTATAATTGCTTGATGAAATTCTAAACGATATAACTCACCAATTGAAGTGGGACTTTTAGATGACGTGTCGTTGCCATTATGGAACCTCTTCTCCCGTTTATCATCTAATTCAGTGTCTGAATCCAATATGCTTGGAAGGGAACTAGCTTTATTACGAAAACTAAACGGGCTCGGTGATAGGAAATTGTTGGAGTACTTCGCATCGGGCCTCGGCTTATCATCGCTGGACGCATCACTCGTCTTTGCTGATATCGGTAAGGCCGAATGACTGATGGAAAGCGCCGATTGGGGTGAAGCTGCAGGGGATATGATGAGACGCAAGTTCACAGGGTTAGGGGTAAGGCAGTTCTCGTGGTCGTATGGAGAGCTGAGCTGCCGTCCTTCAATGAAGTAAGTTTTATGACCTGGACACAAGGAACAACGTATACATCATGCAACAACAGCTATATAGTGGAAACTCCACCAGTGAACGCGAGGGCTACACATGGGACCGTTTTAGGACCATTGACTAATGACAAATGCCTATAATGAAATATATATAGACGGCGCGTCCACCGTAGTCTTTCAAGTTCTTCTTACCGAAAACTTCTTCCCCCTCTTCCAACACATAAGAACCGCCGAGGAACTTGCTGGTCTCTTCGGAAATGTGAACACGTCCCGGCTTACCAGTCGACTCCATTTTGTTGGCAAGCGTGACGTCATTGCTCCAGACGTCAAACTTAAACCGCCTCGTCCCGACTATCCCGCATAACACCGTCCCGGTGTGGACTCCCACTCTCATATTGACCCCTTCACCCTTCTCTCTATCAAATTCCTGGATGGCTTCAATCATACCTGTAACGAATAAAAGTGTAGTTTCTTTTCTTTTTGACTGACTGAAACATATAACTGTTTAATATTGAGTAATAAATCTTGCTATTGATATATAGGCGCGCATTCTTCTCTATTCCTCAATTATATGGAAGATTTGAACCCAATGGCTTCTTAGGATTAACCGAACGTAAAATTTAGCGCATTTCCAAAACAAAGACTGACCCTGTTTTCAAATAGAATCATCTAACTTATTATCAAAAACATGCAAAATTTCAACGCTTACAATTTCCGAGCAAATATTAGAAATTATTAAGGGATTGAAGAAACATATGGGCCAAAGATCGGGGACAAACAAGCAATTTTAGATGTCATTGTTGTGATCGTTACATCGATAAACTTTTCCGTGCGATTAATGTAAACATTTGTTGTACGGCACACTCACCTAGCCCCATCTCCACACAACAGGTCGCGTGATCTGGCCTCGGTTCAGGACAACCAGACACGCAGTAATAGCAATCGCCGAGTGTGGAAATCTTTTCACACCCATGTATAATACACAGCTCGTCGAATTTCTCGAACAAATCATTCAATATATTAACCAATTCCTCGGCGCCCTTGTTACTCGACATCTTGGTAAACCCCACAATATCAGCAAACAAAATACTGACATTGTCCATTGAACTCATGTTGAAAGGCCTAAACAATGATTTGATATCAGACGCTCCAGGGTTCGACGATCTCGGCTGAAGTGGATCGTGACTCTTAGATATCATCTCCGTATCTGTGACTTGTTCCTCCATTAACCAACTGGCAAGTTTCGGCGGCATGACCGAATGAATCATTTTCTCCTTTAGCTGCTTCTCCATCTCTAGCTGCCTCCTGACTAGCAAACTTTGACCGACCTTCATAAAAGTACCCCTCATTCTCACAAAAGTCATGAGATAAATATGTACACCAATTATATGGACACAAAAATGCAATAGAATTCTGACCAACATTCCCGGGTACTGCCATTCTTGTTCCGATAAATGTAAAAACACATTCAGAGTTTCAAAAGCTATGGAATATAGTATTCCTATTGAAACACATGCAAACAGTGGTAGTGGAGTTAAAGTGTATATAATTAAAAGTATTTCAATACACATGGTAAAGTGTCCAGATTGGCTTATATCTGCAACTAGAGGTGAGCTTGAATCCGTTTGAGTTGTCAGGGCAATTAAAGACAGACTCAAGGTACACATAGCAAGTGCCATTACTAGTGACAATCTGAATGTGTGCACTTTGTAAACTTCCGTAAAAGTAAGAAATAGCATCACAGATGTAATTAATAATACTCCCGCAAATATCGAACATAAAAATGGCCATTTCACTGTTACACCATTTAAGCCAAGGACCACAAAGTAAATGAACCATGATATAGAAAATATTAAAATGTATAATAGTGCAAATCTGAAAGGAGAAAATTAATTATAAAAATAACATAAAAATCACAAAACATTCACATTAAAGAGGAATACTTACCGAAATCGTAATCTAATCTGTCTAAATGAGCTGCTTCTATATTGTCCCTCTAGTATTTCAGAGTCAAATCTAGGGTTCCACCAAGTGCCAGGGGCTGCTCTTTCAAAAGCTATAGGTATTGCAAAGCCACAACAGTTTGTTGTTGAGTTATTATGTGCTAAGTAGGCTTGCACATGAGGTGCAAGCCGTATCTGAGCATCTTCAGTTTCCGAGCACTCAGCATCGTGTTTAGATTCAAAATGTTCTGACCCTTCATTGCAACTTATACAGCCATTGTTTGCACTCATTGTGTTTTATTATTCTACTCATCAGTCCACTTTTTACTTAACACTTTTGTGTAAATTATATCTTGAACCTGTTTATTGAAAACAATCTTATTGCTTATTAATTGCATTAAGAATAAGAGTGATGTGGTGAAACCTAGCTCAATAATCATACAGATGTTATCTAGGTCATTAAAGTCATCAATAATACCAAGATTAAAAGTAAACATAGATGGAATATAAAAAAATTACTTTTATAACAGCTTTAAATTACTGCCCAAAGAAGAATCATATTTAATAAAATCTTAATTCAATTACTATCTACTTTGGCATATTTGAAGTTTATAGATTACATATTTAAGCTTTTAAAAAAAATGGTTACAGGTTTAGACTTTAATAAGCCACTTGTTTTGACAACAAATTTAATGTAATTCGGTCTCATTGCAACCCTTAAACACATTTTACTGGCAATAGCTTAAATAAGTGAATAGTAATTACTATGTTGCTTAATAAACTTACCATTTTAGGACCCAAGGTTAAAGTTTTTTAAAACAAATCACTTCGCAAAGATTACGTTAAAGAAATTTTTAAGCAGAATAATACGGTTGGCCGTAATTTAAACTTGTTCATTCACAGCGACATATTCCAATAAAACCGTGAAACTTGTCCACTCGCGACATACTATTTTCTGTATCAATAATTACTGCAAGCAGTGCAAACTACAAAGCAACTGCAAAATACTGCCAAAACTTAAGTCAGGATTGAAGTATCAGTAATTACGTCAAAACCAAACATTGCATCACAGATATGCAGCAGTTTCAAAAACCACAGAGTGCTGTGTTATACAGTTAATATATATGTAAAGAAAGTATACACCACATACTCTATTGGAATTCTGTTTCAGAATAGTTAATAGCTCATTTGTAATGAAGACATTTTGATGAAACCTACTTATTTTCATTGGATTGCATAGCTAAAATGTTAATTATAATAATTAGCAGCAAGCACTCTTCGCCTACATAATATCACATGAATTGTTAATAAAACAATGTAATTAAAAAAGGTTTAATTTATCATAAAATTTAACAACATTAGTGAGTTAATTAACATGTTTAACAAAATAATACTTGATATGATATCAACAATATATTACTAAGTTTTCTCTTGAAATATAAAAGATGCGGGAACAAATATTTATTGTTATTTATAATAAAATGAGCACCATTGTTTATATACAACAAGAATATAAATTGAAGTAAACTCTTTATATAAAATTATTGAAGTCTTATAAAATGCAATATAACTATCCTTAATACATGTAATTATTAACTTTTTTCATCATGTACCTACCTATAGAATTGTAGTTAGAGCATCACTTTTTAATATCTATGATCACAATTTAATGTTACACTTCAAATAATAGAATATGTAAATTTGTAAATATTGCTTAATCATTATACATTCCATCTAAGAGGAAGTCCATTCTTTTGTAATGTCTGTTTTTCCATGCTTCTTTCCCCCTCTTTACAGCCATATAAGCAACCACTGCAAACATTGGTACAACTAATATTGTTATCACAATAGGCATTATTAAATCAGGACGGCTATTTTCATGGAGCTTTTTTATTTTGGAATCAGGTGGTAAGTCAAATTTTTCACCAAGTTCATCTAAAAGTTTTGACGATAACACAGTAGGTTTATGAATTTTTGTCTTGTTGAATTTTTCAGCACTTATGTCATTAGTATCGTTGTTAGACATTAAAGTGGTAGTACTTGAAGAATCAATAGAACTATTTAGTGATTTTATTGTATCAATACCAGCCTCTATGCCATGTTCATCACTAACTTCTTTAAAATCATATGTCACACCTTTACGAGGAACTACAGACTTCTCCTTGTTTTCTTGTAACTCCTTATCCAATTTAATTATCATAGGATGAGTTTCTTTTGGCAAAGTAACTGAAGAAGCATTAGGTAGAACAGGTCCACCTTCACTTGGTATTATTAGTTTTGTATTTTCTTGGTCGTGGTTTGCTTCAGAGTGTAATTCAATACCCTTAGTTGCATTATCTAAATTTGTTTGAGTTGTAGAGCTTGTTTTTGTATATGGTATCGCTAATAATATCGTGCATAAACACAAGTAAATTAACATGTTTCAAAATAAATTGGTACCAAAAAATAAGCAATTCTGATTTCCATACAATAATTTTATAAGTTTACACAAAATAAATAAAATGCAAATAAAAAAACTACACAAAAATAAAAATAAATAATATTACTGAACTAGTTCACATTGAAAACGATTTGACAGTCGTCAATGAGTCAATTTCACAGCAAGCTGACGTGTGAGCCAGTGACAAAGAATTGTATTTCTTTGACATTGGCTATATCACAGGTAAGTTTCAATACTTGACAATTGTCAGTAATTTGACAATATTGACTTTCAAACGACATGAAATATTATGGAATATAAAGTTTAATATTAAATTTAAACTGAATCAAATACTTCATCTAATTAAGTTTATTATTAATCAGCTGTTTATTTATTCTGTATCAAATTAGTATTTTAATTTAAATATAATCAATTGACTAATAAATTTACTTTAGTGTTAGAGTTATTTTTGCCAATTGGCTTCAATTAATAAATATACCAATCAGTGGAATAACTACTTTGTGTCGAAAACGTGTAATAATAGAACTCTTATTAAATATGACGATTTGCACTGTTGAATAGTAAATTACTGGAAAATCCTTAGCTTCGTTTAAGATGCGTACACGCAGTAACTCCGGAGTTCGTTTGGATTACTATCAGAGGATCGTACATAAGCTAATTCTCGATCATCAGCAGCCAGTCACTGGCTTGTTTCCAGCAAGTCCTCATAATGACCACGCTTGGATTAGAGACAATCTCTATTGTATTTTGGCAGTATGGGGTCTTTCTATGGCATTCAAGAAAATCGCCGATCAAGACGAAGATCGCGCAAAAACATATGAATTGGAGCAAAGCTGTGTGAAGCTTATGAGAGGTAAATAATTACGTGTTGACTAATATATATATATACATACTAAATACAAACCTATTACATCTTTATCTCTTCTCAGGACTGCTCATGGCAATGATGCAACAAAAAGAAAAAGTTGAAAAATTTAAAAGCACTCAAAATCCACTTGATTCACTTCACGCGAAATATTCATCAATAACAGGCCGTGTTGTTGTAACAGACACTGAATGGGGACATTTACAAGTCGATGCCATTTCCCTATACCTTCTTGTACTTGCTCAAATGACAGCATCTGGATTACAAATAGTGTTCAGCTTAGATGAAGTAGCTTTCATACAAAATTTAGTTTTCTACATAGAATCTGCCTATTGCACCCCTGATTATGGAATTTGGGAGAGGGGTGACAAAACCAACCATGGATTACCTGAACTCAATGCCAGTTCAATTGGCATGGCAAAAGCAGCGCTAGAAGCCATGAATGAACTAGATTTGTTTGGAGCCCGTGGAGGTCCATCTAGTGTCATCCATGTTTTAGCAGATGAAGCACAAAAATGTCAGGCCGTCTTACAATCAATGTTACCTAGGGAGTCTAATAGCAAAGAATTGGACTCTGGTCTTTTATCAATCATTAGCTATCCAGCATTTGCAGTAGATGACCCATATTTAATAGCAAAAACTAGGGACACTATAGTCTCTAAGTTGCAAGGGAAATATGGATGTAAAAGGTTTCTTAGAGATGGACATAAAACACCGAGAGAAGATCCCAATAGGCTTTACTATGAACCTTGGGAGCTAAGAATGTTTGAAAATATTGAATGTGAATGGCCCTTATTCTTCTGTTACTTAATTATGGACTACTGTTTCCAAGGCGATAAGAGCAGTGTTTCTGAGTACATGCAAAAGTTAGAAATGATAATGATAAGAAAGGATGATGGTATGAAATTGGTCCCAGAATTATACTCCGTACCAGCTGATAAGGCGCATTTGGAACAACATGAGCCAGGCAGCCAAGAAAGGATTCCTCTTGGTAGATGTCCTTTCATTTGGGCTCAGTCTTTGTACATACTTGGCAAGTTATTGCAGGAAGTAAGTGTATTACTTTAAGAAAATATAATTACATTTTTAAGTTAAATATATTCTTAATAGAACAATAAGAAGGGGGACGTAAATTTAAACCCAAAAAATTTTTTTATCCCATTTAATTTTTTTTTTTTTTTTACCTTACAAAAAAAAACATAATAATCATGTTATTTTAATTTTCAGGGTTTTCTAGCTGTAGGAGAGTTGGATCCATTAAATAGAAGATTATGTTCTGAAAAAAAACCAGATGTGGTCGTGCAGATAGTAATTTTAGCAGAAGACAATGAAATAAGAGATAAACTGTTAGAGTATGATTTACAAGTTCAAACTATTAATGAAGTGGCCCCTATTGAAGTACAGCCTGCTAGAGTTTTAAGCCACCTTTACACCTATTTAGGTATTTATTTATTAAAACTAAAATAAAATAGGATATTATATATAAAATATTCAGAGAGCCAATTAAAAGTTTTCACTTTTAGCTTCAGAACTGTAAAAATTTACACAATTTTACAAAAACTTTACAAAAATTTTCCAAAAATTTTACAGAAATTTTACAAAAATGCTATCATATATTTTTCTTTTCTAGCATCAGTTACTATACTGCTGAAATATGCCTCTTTAAATTCTTGTCTTATTTTAATAAGTTAAAAGTATCACTACTGCATATTTATTTCTGATTAAATACAAGTATGGACTGGAACTTTCCTGGCATTTGTCTTCCCATCCCAGCAAATTTGGGTACAAAATGTGAAAAGTCTTTTTATAATAATTTTAACAGTATTATCAGTTTATATTATTCTACATAATACTTGTATGTTGTCATTTTATAAGAGTAGGTTACTTTATTACCAAAGGAATACATCACCATAATTGGACGATAAAGAAAAACCTTTAATAAGAATTAAGGTTGTGTCTTTGTTGATATATATTTTAATGTTTCTTTTAAATTTCAGGAAGGAACAAAAAGTTAGGTCTATCTGGCAGAAAGTCACGCGACGTCGGAATTCTAAGCACAAGCAAATTATATTCGTTAAACGACCGAATTTTTGCTTTTACACCACAAGTAAGTATCAATTTTTGGTCTTCGCATTTGTCACTTTAGTATATTTTTATTAGCAATCAGATACCCTGAATGAGTTTTCTTTTATTAGTTCTCTGATATGAAACGTTTCTACATTGCTTCTGATTATGAGTTGATGGTAGACATGCTCAAATCCGAGATATATTTCTTGAAGTCCTCTTGGCAGAACCTTTTGGGAAGACCACTAATTGTTTTAACTTTGAGTCAAATGAATTTAGGTATTTATTTACTATGTATTTGTGTTTGCTTGCTATTTGTCCCATGTCCCAAAAGACTTTCCCTTTCCAGTGTTTTAAAACTATTAATATGACTGTGTTATTTGTCAACTGAATTGTTTTATAACTAGTTTCACTTATAGGATAAATTAGTGTAAAGTGTTAAGCTATATTGAGTTTTGTCTTTGAAAACTTTAATATTTTCTATGTGATGGCTTCATAGATATAAATTAGAAATCAATTTTAGATTGAAATAAAATTTCGACTCTGGTGGGACTGGAATCTGAATCTACATAGTTCTTAGTTCTGCTGCTCTTACCAACTTGACACGGTAGGTCAAATGGTTAATGCGGTAGCACGGTACTGTAGATGCCGTGGCATAATTTTTTTCAAATCTAAAAATCGATTTTTAATTTGAGTTTTGTCTTTTTCCATTCCCTTCTCAAACTTTGCTTTAATGTAATTTACATATATTCTATTACACAACAAAATCACATTTAACTGTACAATTTAATATGTTTGGTTGCGAGGTGAGTGAAAGAGACAAAACATACACTGGCTAGTTTTATAAGACTGTGGTACTGATTTGTAAAGTAACAACCCTGCATGAATGCCCCAGAATTTTGACTACGAAGAGTACTACATGACTCGCGACCCGGCGTTGCTCGCTAGTACGTTCACAGCGAATGTGGCTTTCCTTGGCATGAGTTGGAAACAAATGTTGGGACGTCCGACAATCACTTTACTCGCCACACAGTATTTATTAGGTACATACCTTTAGTGTCAATTTAGTACTTAATAATTCTATTAGATTTGTATCGCACTCAGAATAAATATATTTTTAATTTTGGCATCTAATTTTACTACGTCATAGATGATCTTGCACTAATTACTTAATTATAAATCGTCTTGATATTAAGTTTCACAGACTTTTACTGAATTCTTAATTAATTTCGTGTATTTCTGTTCTGTCCCAGTGCATTGTAAATATCAAAACAACATAACGAAATGTATTGATTTTTTCGTCTAGAAAACACAGATTCTGTACATAACATTAACTTGGCTTTACTTCCCTAATACATACTAACTGTTTTAATGGCCTATAGCTTTGCTCTTTCGATTATAATTGCTTTATTAATAAGTGAGTATATGATTTCATTCACAACAATGTTCTAGATCATGGAAAGATTCCCATGGCTATGGTAACAACTATGAAAAAGTTGAAATCTGGTTACATTAATGGTACCCGAGTTACACTTGGTAACCTGGGCGACTTTTTGAGTACTTCAGCTATTACGAATCTCAGTTTCCTTGGGAGTCAAGAGGATGGATATCCTGATAGTGAGTAAAATGATTGGTTTCTTATCTTCTTTCCTTCTTCTTTTGCGTGTAATAGTTTCAAAAGCTTTTGTTATGTATTTGCTTAGATATATACTATATCTAATTTTAAACCATGAAGAATTTGGTATCTAACCAGCCGATCTCACCACAAACACACACAGATTAATGAAACAATAAACTTAGATATTTTAATTTCTATTCTAGAACTGAATCCTCAAGTCCAAAGCTATCTTGAGGAACACCTGCTGAAGTCATTTAGCAACAAATTCAACTTTATAACCCGTCCTACTGGTTCTCGCAGCCGAACGTTGCGCAGGCGCATGTCAGTGCGTGGCGCTATCAAGAAGACGCGATCTATCAATGTTGATTGTAAGTATAGTTGTTATTTATAGTTAAAAAAAACCTACCAAGTGCAGTTTCATAAAACTCACTTTTAATAAAAGACATATTGGAATTAATTAATTTATTAATAAACTAGCATACTAGTATTCTCTGTGTATCATAGTAATTGAAAGCCTTTTTATTTTTTATTTGCTTCTATTATACTAGCATTCATTTGCTTATTATTTCAGCTGAAACACTAGGAATGGAAGGTGAAAATGCAGCACCACAAAGTTTCCTAGAACGGAAACCATCTTGGCTTGAAGTCGACCCCATGTTTGGTCGGAGTCCCTCACCCGAGGATCCTAAGAAGAGAGCTTTTACAAAGTAACTTAAATTCTCGATATATCTATTTGCTTGATATACAGAGACTTCTGCCTTAGTTATTCAGTAGTTAAGTTATGGATTTTAAATAAATTTATTGCAGGGGCACATCAACCACGACGTTACCAGTGACTCCAACAATAGAAATCACGAAGGAAAATTCTCCATCACCACCCAAAGACGAAGGTATAACCATTTTCTCTTTACCTCTATACACCAGTATTTTAAATAAAACACATTCAACGTCTTACAATAAATTGTAAAAAACTTGAACTAATACATCTCACGTTTAAAACCGTTGAAAGTGTGTTATCTAAATTTGTACCAGTCGTGTAAACTACAGACTGTTTGCAACTCCTGTGTCATTTGATTATTTTGAAACAGTATTTAAATTGATATAACTTTAACAGGCGCGTTAGTGTAACAGTTAGCTACTGTTACACTAACGCGTGTTGTTATAGAGCTATATATAAAATAGTTAATAATCAACGGGTCGTGGGTTCGATGCCCAGCGGGTACAACATGTTTCCAATTAATTAATATTATTTCTGTAACATGTGGGTTTTTGTCTAGAATTTTTTTATGGTGTTTTTATGGATGGTAGGGGTTTGAATTAAATTTAAGAAATTTAATTCAAACCATAAATAATTTGGTATTGTTCTAGTTGTAAACAAGAACGTGGTAGTACGTAACCGCACGATATCGGAGAATCAGAACTTGGTATACGCTGAGCAAGAGACGGACGAACTGATCGGAATGCTGCGCGAGACGGAGAGTTTGGATGAGCAGGGAGATATTCTTCAGTATCTTGTAGATACTCATGGCTTGGACTTTAGTACTGGTGAGGACAATATTGGTATATTATAGATTCTTTTAATCTTATTGATTTATTTTAATGTACATGTTTGTTCATTTGTTCCTAGCTGTGTTAGCGACTTCGTCCGCGAAAATCGTTATTTTGGGCATCCAAATTCGTTTTTGCAGACCATAATTTGTAAACTATAACAGCTATAGCGGTCCGTCGGTGTTGCTTAAGTTTATCTTAGTCGATACATATACTGTTGTAGACATTTTTTTAGATCATTTAAAGAGGAATCATTCCCTCATACATATTTCTTGGGCTATATGGAACCGTTTTCACATCACACGAAAACCCTTAAAGATTTTTTTCTACGTTTGACACTGCTTCGTCGCTCCTATAGGTTACAGCGTGATGTTATATAGGCCAAAACCTACCACGATAGGTGGTCTACCTAAAAATAATTTCTCAATTCGTACCAGTAGTTTCGGAGATAAACATGTTAAGACCAAATACTTCAGCTTTATAGTCTTCATTCACTTATCAAAATTATCCAGAAAAATTGACATGCTACATATAAAATTATCTGGATTTCATTCACTGTTTTTACTTACCCTGGACCATTTAATTATTAATAATGTCTAATCACATCTTTAGGCGTTCTGGAAAACGGCAAACCTGTCACCGTTAAAGACCTTCTAAAAGTCTTATACGAGAAGGCGTGCTCCCAAAAGCTGTGGGGTCTCGTTCGTCACACAGCAGGGATGTTGGGCAAGCGAGTTGAAGACCTGGCTAAAGCGGTGACCGACTTGTTAGTGCGGCAGAAGCAGATAACAGTTGGCATGCCGCCGAACAACGAGTACACTATAACTGCGCCCTTACCCGAAAATGAACTGCGGCAACTTATACATTGTGTAAGTATAGAGGTTAACACGCGACTAGTACACAAATAAAACTAAAGCGTTACTTACCCTATATTTAATTATGATCCAATGTTTTTTGTGCTTTCCAGCAGTTGTTAAACTATATTCGATTATAACTCTAAATTAGTTTTTTGCGACCAGTTATGGCCAAATTTATTTCTATAAGCATGTAATATGAGTATTAAATCAATTCATTCTTCACCAATTAAGATATTAATTACAAAAATTTTAATATTTTATACTACAAATAAAATAAAAACGTCCGTCTGATGCATAATATAAGTAAATAAATTTAAATCACTTCAACTATTCTGCTAAATGTAAGCAAACATTTTTTAGAGTAAAATTTATAAATTCTATTTCCAAGCAGTCTTTGCGACAAGATTCCAACGGAAATCAAAATCATAAGGTAATTTTTATCTGTAACATATCAATGTAACTTTTTCGGTCCCCAATGACTTGACGCACACGCACATGACTTAACCTATGGAAAAGTCATGCAATATATCGATTTAAACAAACAATGCTTTAATTACCTAATAAGTTGGCATTACATTTACTTTATTTTATTTTCGTTATTTTCTAAGTAGCATTCACCTTGTCATTCTCTTTCGGGCTGTTCGGCCGATGCTGAGCGAGAAGAGGTTCTCGACGTTTCGCCATCACGTGTGGACGGCATCATCAGGAGATGTTACCTCCTCATTTTCGAAGAATTAAAATTCGGCCAACCCACAATGCTGCCGTGAAAGCCTTTTATTTACAATTTAGCATTCACCTATAACTAATTAACGGCCTCTTTAGAACGTTGCCTAGCGTTGCGATAAGCACGAGGTTTTGGGGAAACGTAAGATTGTTTCGGTCGCGATGAGCACAGAAGACTGATTAACTACTCTAGTAAGAGTAGTAGTAACTAGTCTATCAACTAATCATCTTTAATTACATTATTTACGCTACAATTTAGATTTGAAACGGACCACAATGAAGTTTAAAAGTGGACCTTAGTGAGTATGTTTCTATGAGTTAAAAATTGTGCTGGATCTTTATAAAATACAACTTTTATCTGACTTAAGTTAATGTTTGAAATATTTTCTAATTTTATTTTCCATTAACTATGTATTAGGCTTACGGAGACGACGAAAGTACAGCGATGTTGACTCAAGAGTTGCTCGTGTATCTCGCCATGTTTATACGTACGGAACCACAACTCTTTTTGGAGATGCTGCGTCTGAGAGTCGGTCTTATCATACAGGTATATTTATCTGATTATTAAAACTTGTCACTGAACGTCTTTAAAATAATCTATTGCAAGAATAATTGTACGGCAAACTTGCTAAAATAATATTTTATGCGTATGCGCAGGTGATGGCCACGGAACTATCGCGGACTCTCTCCTGCGACGGCGAGGAAGCTTCAGAACATCTTCTCAATTTATCACCGTTTGAGATGAAAAATCTACTTTATCACATACTGAGTGGAAAGGAATTCGCAATTAATAGTGGTATGTATCAATATTTCACCATGGTATACCGCCACCATAATAACGAAAAATTACGACACTGAAATAGGGAATTAATTTTTAAATTTTTTATCTAAAAATACCATTGATCATTTGGATAAATTCACTAGAGTAAATGTCAAATTTAAATATAAGTATTTTTATTACACACTAAATCTCCATTCAGAATTTAAAAAATGTTGACACGGACGGGACTTACCCATTATAATTAATAAGACTGCGGTCGTGGTTTTCTGACGAACGAACGAATTCACATATCCATAACATAACATACAGAATTAAAATTAAAGTACAAAACATTATTTTATTTGCAGCCAATTCATTGTTTGGTATACAGGAAAAATTTAAAAAAGAAGGCGAGTCTATTAAATTATCGTTTTCTGTACCCGTTTACTTGCACATGTAACCCCCCCACCATTTCCGATTATCTAATTATATATTTGTCTGATGTATAACAAATGAAAATTTTTAACTACATATGTTGATGTCAAATGTTTGCAACGTAACGATAATTTTTGACTGGCAAGTATTGTGATTTTCCCCATTACAATTGTATGCATTTTATGTTATTATCATTCTATCTCACGTCATGGACATATGCACCGCTTTGAGACTACATGTAAAAAAAACAAAGTTCTTAAGTGTTGTATGGCTTGTTTTATAGGTCGAGGCAACTTTTCCATTGTGAGCAACAAATCGAATCGATATGGCAAGAAATCGCAAATAGTACTGGAGGGACAAAACTTACAAGGCATTGAGGAAGGTATATATGATTTGTTTTATTTATTTATAAAACTAGTTATGGTAAAGTCATTAAGTCTTAACCAAATAGATATAATACACTATGTTTGTCTATCTTCCGATCCAGCCAAGGAAAACAACTTTTTTACAGCTTTTAGACACATTTAAAAGATGAACTACGACGATCAGTACCGTAAAAAAATCATTAAAATATTATAGTATGGGATTAAATAGTTTTTATCTAAATGTTTTCCTTAAGCCAGTCAAAGAATGCTTTTTCTAATACATTGTTTTTCCCTACAGCACCAACAGTAGAACCAGATCGCCAAGGACAATGGTTGCGAAGGCGTCGCCTAGATGGCGCCCTCAATCGTGTACCTAGAGACTTTTATCCTAGAGTTTGGGGTGTTCTAGAAAAGGTTTAAATAATACATATTACGCCATATTTAAATACAACACAAAACGCGATAATTATTTGTTAAACTTATTTGAAAATTTATTTTAATCAACGTTTCGGATGCTTTGCAGCAGCCGTGATCAGGTGGAGACTAAAGATGGTCTTTCTCTCTAATGTCAAAGTAAAAACTGCTACGCCATCTGTACCGTCGTAGTTGGTATTTTGCAGTTTAATTAACAAGTTTAAAAGTAAAAGTGTTTCATTTAAATTTGTACTACTTACGTAAACTACAGACAATGATTACGTCATAACCAATTTGTTCGATACTAATATAACAAAAACACATCCTATGAACATATCTTATAGTCTTTATAAAGAAAAACAATCTATAATAAAAATGTTTTGTTACAGTGCCAAGGTTTAGTGATCCAAGGTAAAATCCTGCAACCAAATTTGACACAAGAAATGACGCCCGGAGAGTTGAAATTTGCACTAGCAGTGGAAACGGTTCTGAACTCCATCCCACAGCCTGAATACAGACAGTTGGTTGTTGAAGCTTTAATGGTTTTGACCCTAATCGTTGAGTATAAGACCATTAACAGCTTGGGTGGGATGATCACAGTAGAGCACTTGGTGCATAAGGCTAATCAAATATTTCTTGAAGATCAGGTATGTTATTGCAGTGTCTGCAAAATTACTTTACTTATTTAACATACCACACAAAAAAAATTGATTTCCCCTTTTACTGCTGCTTTTCTATCCTCTATCTTTCAATTACTAAAACCTTTTAATAAGCAAATTAAAATAGTTTTTCTTTTACAATTTAAATTACATCCACCTTTATCAGCCTTTCGTTTAACGTCTTTTTAGATGCGCTGTAATGGCGACGCAACTCTGTGTTGCGCAAAGGCAGATTCCTTCGGCGGCGCGCAAGTCTGCGGAGGCGCTGCAGGCGTCTGCCAACTGCTGTACGACAGCGCCCCTAGCGGCAGCTACGGAACTATGACTTACCTGGCACGGAGTGTTGCTACGTTATTGGCTGATCGCGTCCCCCACGACACGCCCATTGAGTGCGCAGTTAGTTAGGCGCCATGTATTGAGAAAATTAGAGATATATTCCCTATTCATTTTGACATCTTATCAAAACTTTTAAAAGGCAAGGACACAAAATCATTGTTAGGCATTAACTAGACTAATAAAAAGTTACAAATCCTGTGCCAATCAACGGGCAGGCCTTTTTATTTTAGCTGTATTGCTAAATAAGGTAAAACTAATCCTCAAATTTATTAAACTTCAATCATGGCTTCAAGACCTACAAGACTAAGTTCTTTTGTTAGTTTTGATTTGTCTATCTGTTAAACAAAATGTTGCCATACAATTGTTGTAGTATTATGTTTTCCGGATTGTTATAAAAATCTAGACAAGTGTGTTTTTATACATATATATATATAGCCATTTTATTCAAACTAAACACTATAAAAGACTTGTACTTGGTGATTTATAAAACACAAAGCATCTTATAAACAGAAAAACATAGTGTATTAGGCAGAGTTTTTCCTCAATACGGTTCCTATCTAAAACATAGTGTACAATACAAATGTATACAGTTACTAATGCCGAAATGATTAAAACATTTACAATAAAGCTGATATGAAATGTATTAAGATAAGATTTATTTTCATGTGGCATGCTGTTAATTATAATAAAGAAATTTATAGTATTTTAAAATTGTTATTGTTTGTCATTCTTTGTTTACTCTTAGATTGTTTAGATTTTCATTAATAAAGGCAATTAAAATGAATTGTTGATTTTAATTAAATAACTATATTTTATAAGCAACATTACAGTTTTCTACAACTTAACAATTTTTTAAAGTTCTACTTTTTCAATTGACTATGCTTCATCTTTTTTCCCAAAAGGATTCATCTTGGACAGCCAGGATGTAGTATTTCTGAAAAAATACATTTACATGACAAATAGAAAAAGCTTGTTTTGATTTGCTGATTCTAATTATGTAACCCCCTACTGTTTCATTGAAATCAGGAGTAATTTCTAATGGAGGTATGTCATATTATTAATATATAAGTGTTACTTAATGGTTAACCAATAAATGTGTTGTAAGTCCCTAATTTAAGTGATTTTTTTTAAATACACAAATGCATATTTATATAAATTCCTGCTCTTATATAAATTTGTAGTTATTGTCTTGTCACAATAGTGGTGTAAAAAAAAATTCACCATGCTATACTTACGATATTTCATCTGCTGATGGTTGAGCTTCTATTCCTGCCGCCTTTAGCTTTTCAACTAAATTCTTTCTGTAAACATTCTTCAATGGGACAGGCTTATTAGCTGCCTCTTTTATTTTTGCTACTTTGCACAGAGCCTCATACCATGTCAACCCATACCAATCAATTTCTTCAGGGGTATACTGAAACAAATTTGGCATTTAAACAAAGTTATTAGCCTCAATTGAGAAAAACGGTAAAATACTTACAGAAGACAAATAAGTTTTATATTCATCATAAATTTCCTTTTGCTTAACTGGGTCATATGCATGCCGAGGACAGCCGTTCATAAGTTCAATTAATATTTGCTTCTTGAGTTTCAAAGCAAGCATTGAAATGAGGTCACAAGCGGGTGTTTTAAGTAAGTAATGGTCAAATCCATAATGGTCATTGATAAGTTTAATGGTTCTGTCAGTAACTGTGACAGATAAATGAGTGTTTAAAACTTCAGATTTAACCACTGTCCTTTTTAGAACTGGTACCCAATAGTGAGGTACTCGACGCTTCTTTAAGTCACGTTTTTGAAAACCTATGGAAAGTGCAATTCTTATTACACACAACAATAACTATATATACATTTTTCACATTATTGAATATGTCATAGAGCGTAACTTATTAACTTTTAAGACAAAGCCTCAGGATAAAAAAGAATTATTTGTGCCTTGCCTTTTACTATAGCTTCCCCACCCCATATTCCCTCATCAATTTCGGCAGGATGTTTCAATGGTATGGGGATATTTTGCACAGGAAGAGTTTCGCCCGTGAGGTCATCTCGTTTCCACTTGCTGTCTTGGGGAATATAGTGTACAGCTGCTGGCTTCAGCACTTTCCATTCTCGCCAGAACTTCTTATAGGCCGCAGGTAACTCTGATGCTATGCCTATATCGAATCTACTTTTCTTCTTAAATGTTTTGGACAACTGGCGTGCTGTCGCCTGAAAATATAAATTGATAAACAAAAGTCTGATAAGGTCACACGTTTTATAATGTCAATACGCAGAGTGATGCAACAAAATACTATAAGGCAGTGTTTATATTATAAGGTATATACCTGAATACGGGAAGTGGCCATTTATTGATTCAGATTAGGAATCATGTAATAACAATAATTTTCTTAAATGAGAACGAATGCAATTCCAATTCAATTGAATTAGTAAAATTTGTAAAGATTACACAGATTAATCAAACCAAATATGATTTTTTAAGTATTGTCTACAGGCTATCACCGTTGAAGAAGTAAGGATAAATAATAAGTAAGAAAGTTACCACAGACAACTTTTATTTTATATTTCGCGTTTATATTAGCATCGATATTATTGAGATTATTGAATACATATTTACGAATTATAACCATTTACTTTTAATATATGTACAGATTTTTTTATTTGTAGCATTTATGTACATTGAACATATACACATAGATGTAATATAATGTTGCGATGGGGAACCCAAAGTCAATCATTCTAACAGCTTCATCAGTTTAACTTAAGCCAATGTGAAAAATACTACACCTGACCTGTATTATACACTGTTTAAAGATTTTTATAAGTATAATCTTCTTCTTTTTAATTTGGAAGAGAGTTTCGACAATTTTATGTTTTTTTACCGCTTATTGACAGTGACAGTAACCATAAGCGACGTGGATTAGTAAAAAATGGCAAGTGATCGAGTGCTAAGTGGTTGCTAAATATTTTGATTCCATTTTATTATGTATATCTACTAAACTTTACAACCATTCTTGAAATTGTATTTCAAGTTCTTGTGCGTTGTGAAAAACTTCGTTTCTGCATTATTCATGTTGTCATTAGATAACCAACTATGTCTGATAATAAAAACATCGACAGTGGTACTACTGCAAAGGATCAGGCTGATGTCGATTCCAATTTAGCAGTGACTCGAAGTGATGTGGCCAGTGTGACAAGTAGAAGTAGTGTGAAAAACGTCAAGGTAGGGCAGTCGAGGTTTATTTTAGTTTAAAAAATGTAATTATAGAAAATATTTACGTTTTAAGAAATACATATGGAACTGAGGTTTTGCAATAAAACATGTAATCTATTTACACTTCATATACCACTTCACGATATTACAAAAATTTATTTCCCAACTAAATTTTATTAATCATGGGTAACTGGGAATTATAGATAATGCCTGTATATATTTAAAAACACAATAATTGTAAATAATACATGACTGTTTTTTAGATATTCTATTTAAAATAAGTTCTAAAAAGGCATATTGTTTTGCAGACAACAACAGCAGAAAGACAAATAAAATTCGAAAGAGCTCAAAAGTGTCTAGAAAATGCTGCCCTTGTATCCAAAAGGATCAAAGAGCACAGAAAAGCTACAGCTGAGTTATTGGGTCGACCTTTTGGTAAGCCTTTCTTTAGAGAATATAAATGATGACTTTACAAAGACAAAATGGAATCCTATCAAATTATGTTAATGTTTACTTTAATATATAATACAGGACAGAGAAGTACTTAGTGAAAGATGAATACCCCAGTCATATAATATCTAACCGAGATGCACTGTCCACATATTTCCTTTGGATATTGTTTTCCTGTTTTTCGCTTATGTCTGTTTTACCACTCCTTTTATTTATGGCCATCCGACTCATCGTAGAAATCATAAGAGGACATTGCCATCTAAACAGACATCTTACAATGATAGGAATAGGTAGAGAAGAGAAAGACAAATGCATATGGGCTCGGACGAAGTTACAGTAGATACATTAAAGAACTACACATGGAAAAAATAATAAGATTCTGCAAGCAAGGTTTGAAGGGGACACGGGAAGAGTTGAATAACCCAAATCTCTGCAAGGAGGGAATGGGGAAATGGGTGAAATGGTCAGCGGACAACATGGACTGATCACCCGTCCTGCCAAGTGTGTCCCCGATAGAAAATAATAATAATAATTTATGGTCAAGTAGATATAAGACTTACATGCTATGTCTTAGTAGGATCTTTCGCACATCTAGTAATTTGCATATTTTTTGTTACAGAAGATGATGTTACAGACAGCCAATCAGAATTGGCATCCGCCGTAAGTGAAAAGACTGGATACTCTGTTGCTATAGACACATCAACAACTTTATCTGTCCAAGATGCTCTTAACAGTATGTATATATTTCAGAAAAACTTCTTTGTATTTTATAATATGTTTAGTAAATTGTTAAAAAGTCGCATTACATATCTCAAGTATCCTATTGGGTAATTAAATCCCTTCTACAATCGGATTTGTGACTTTTGGCCTTGATCACCATAAGAAGAGGCAAAAAAGTGGATAGCTCAACTAACAAATTAACACAAAATATTGTACAGTTCCAGGTATAAGTGAAAGTTTAGCAAACACTTTAAAACAAAAGGAAATCTTAATGGAAAGAATTAAGCAATATAAAGAAATAAGCAAGAGGCCAATTAAAACATCACCCCTTATAAAGAAAGAAGTTGAGAGTGCAGAAGCAAGAAAGGTTTTAATTTAACATGATAATTTTTGTAATTATAAAACATTTATTTTTAAGAATGTGATTACATTATAATTATTTGCATTTTACACAATTTTAAAGTGTAAAATGCAAACAAAACCAATAAAATTGTAAAAATTTTATTACTTCTTTGTTAAAAGTTTTGTATATTTTACAGTCTTTCTAAAAACTATTACACACACACACTTTTATTACAGAGTTCTGACAATACTGAAGTTTTTAAATTAACGAATATTGTAAAGGAAAAAGAAAATGCTTTAAGCATCATGCAAGTTAAAATTAAGGCAATGGAGGCTACAATAATGGACTTACAAGAAAAAATTCATGAAAAAGACCAAATAATTGAAGCAAAGAATAAAGCTACAACTATAATATCCGATAACTTAACAAAAAAAGGTCTGTTGCCTATTTTTATTAATTGTTATTTTTTATATTGTTTACTTTATTTCCTTTTTTTTTGCAGAGAAAGACACGTTAGACTTGCTAAAAGATACAAAAGAACAAATGACCAAAATGCAAAACAATTTTATCGCCATGGAAAGTGAGTGGAAAGAAGAAAAGTGTAAACTATTAGAGGAAATAAATATTAAAGATGAAAAAATAAAGAGCCTCCATGAAGCTAATACGATACTAGAAAACTCGCGCTTTGAAATCAGCATTGCTAATTCAAAGTTAGTAGAAGAACTAGAATTGAAAAACAGGGAAATAATAAAGTTACAAGAAAAACTATCTGATTTAAGCAAAACATCACATATTATTAAACCTGAAGAGCCAATAGAAGAAGAAAAAGGTTCTAAGGAAATTCTGGATATGACAGAATTGACTAAAAAGATTGAAATATTAGAACAACTAAACTTCCAAATTCGGCAAACTAATAAAGAGCTTGAAAATCAGCTTTCTGCTTTAAACAAAGAAACAAAACCCGGTCCATCTATCTCTCCAATGAAAAAAGGAAGCCCTTTGCCGTCGAGAAAAGGGAGAAATACTGCGTCAAAAATGAAATCGCCTTGGAGTAAGTTGTCGGCAGAAGCTCTGAATCAAGAAACTGAAAAGAAAGTAGTTAAAACTGAGACAACCAAATCAGAAATGATCTTGCAAGCTCTTAACAAAGACATCTTAGACAAGGAATATGTAATATCACAAAAAGAAGATCTTATTAGTGAATTACAATTAAGTAATAATGAAAAAGAAAGTCTTATTAATAAACTTAAAGATCAAATTCTATCTCAAAAAGAAAATAAAGTTGGTACAGTAGATGTCGGCTTATGTACCGAGACAATTACAGAAAGAAGTGAAAAGTCAGACAACATAGACTCACATGATGAATTAAAGGATGTGCATGATTTGGAAGTAAAACTAAAGGAAGCCCAAGAGCAAATTGTATTACTCAACGAAGAAATTGAATCTGCAAATAAAAATATGATTAAAGTCAAATCTAACTCCAAGTTAAAATTAAAACAAATGCAAAAAACAATTGATAATTTAAGTAAAGTTTCTGACACAAATGCAGAGATGGTGCGACTGAATGAAGAAATACATCAATTATCGCAAAAAGTTGCAGAATTAGAAGAGGAAAAAGGAAACCTTCAGTTACACTTAGTGGATTATGATAGCGGAAGATGTAAGTCTGTTATTTGTCCATTACATTTAACTTCTTCTAATGAAGTGAAATTCTTATACAGCTCATTTATGTACAATAATAATAGATATTTTAAAAGTAATATTAAAAAGACCTTACTACTGTTTAGCTTTTTTAAATTATTACTTATTAATCTCTTATGAATAGATAAAATAAGTTAAGTAACAGACAAAATTAACTTTATGCCTTTTTTGTAGTAACAGACACAGACATCTATAAGAAAATGTTGGAGATGGAAAACATAGCAGAAGCTAGATTAAAGTCCATTAGTTTGTTAGAAACACAAAAATTTGACTTGGTACAAGGTGAATATTAAATATTATATTTTATTTTGCTGCAATATTTTTTTTCTTTAGTATGGATTGTAAATAATAAAGCTATGATAAATAAATAATTTTCTGATATAGCAAATTTATATAGCAACTAGCAGACCCGGCCACGCGTTGCTGTGGCTAAAGTTATTGTTTAGCAGTCTATCTATTGAATTGTAGCTTATATGACACGTTTGTCGGTTTACCATAGCAGTGCCATCTATTGATTACTTAACAATCCATTATAACTGTCAATTATTTGTAGACAAATAATTTGCAATAAAATAAATTTGCGACTATAATAAAAGATCTAAACTATCCTATGTCTCAAGTAAGACCAGACTGGTCACTGTATGCCAAATTTAATTTAAAATCGGTTCATTGGTTTAGGAGTCCATAGCAGACAAACATCGTGACAGAAGGTTTATATATATATAGCAATTATTAATTATTATAAATAGTAAAATGACATTGTATATGTTACAGAATTGCATAATCTTCAACAAAAGAATGCAGAGATGGAAGATAGACTAGCGGATATAACACAACTGCAAAATGAACAAGTTTGTTCAGAAATAAAGTCCGTCCAATTAGAAGAACAAATAGATCAGTTAACTGCTTCAAAAAAAGAATTAGAACTTGTCATAGAAAACTTGAAGCTTGACAAAGAGCAAGTAGAACGCAATATTAATACAATACTAAATGAAAAAGAAGAACTGGTACAGAAACTAGAACATTATGTTCAAGAAAATATGGACTTAAATGACAAGCTTGAAAAATTAAGTGCTGAAAAAGTAAGTTCAGCAGAGTCAATTGAGATTGTGGAATCATTAACCACTCAGGAAAAAATGGAAATTGAAAAGTATAATAAAAGTATTGAAGGGGAAAAGGCAGACGATAACACCTCTGACAGCAACGGGGCTTCAAGCTCTCCAGAAAACATTAGTATATCTAAAATTCTTCATGAAAATGCAGAACTAAAAAGCAAAATTGAATTGTTTTCACAAGAAAGGCAAGAAGTTATGGAAAAAATGAATAAAATTTGTATAGAAAATAATAAAATAAGTGAAAATATTGAAGACTTGGAAAATGAAAAACGACATCTACAGATTGAAATTGAAAAATTAAACGAAGAAAAAATTACAATGTCAAACCTACATCAAGAACTACTTTCACAAATAGATGAATTAAAAAATGAACGAGTAGAAATAATAAAAGAGGCAGCCGATATAAAACCATTGACGTCGGACGATTTAGTAGACAGTCCTTCCACTGAAGGCCATCAAGAAGATAAAAGTGTTAATGACAAGTCATCAAAAGGTGCCAAAACTGTAAAACAACTTACTAAAGAGATACTTAAATTGAAAAATATTATTAAAGAGAGGGAGGATGAAATTGGAGATTGTCAGATGAAGATACTTTCTCTTGAGGAACAGCAACAAAAACAAAAAGAAATTATAAAAACTAATACAGATTATGAAACAAAAATTTCGCAACTTTCTGAAGAAAACAAAAAGCTAAAAACTGAAAATGATTCGTTTGCCAATGACAAAACTGAACAAATTAAATTCAAAGAAACAATAGAAAATCTACACCACGAAATGCAGCGCGTTAAAAATGAATACAATTCGGCGTTGCATAGCCGTGATACAAAAATTCAGGAATTAGAACATTTGTTAGTCGAATATGAGAAACAAATATTTAGTTATGGCAATTCATTACAGCAAAAGGATAAAGATTTAAATGACTATATCAATCAAGTCACTAAACTTAATGATATTTCTCAAAAGCTAAAATTAAGAGTTGAAGCTTTAGAAGAAGAAAAGGCCAAAGATCAAAATGTGGAGGTAATAAAATCTTTAAATAAACAAATCGCACTTTACCAAAATGCATTGGCCGATTGTGAAGATAAATTGAGGACACTCGAAGAAGAAAAATCTCAATTATCGTCTGTGAAAACAAAGTTAGAAAACAAAAATTTAATGCTCGAGACTGATGTCACAAAGCTAAAAGAAACACTAAATGAAAATCAAAAAAATGTCGAAGAGCTAAGACGACAAATCCAGAAACAAAAAGAAGATTTTTCAGAAATCTTATCACAAAGTAAGGAACGTGATGAAGAAATACATGAAATAAAATTACAATTACGAAAGGAGTCGATTGAAAATGAAAAACTAAGAACCATGATTCAGCAAAAAGAACAGGAAAACGCTGAAATGTCACAGCAATACGATGACATGCAGAAAAAATTTGACGCCATCAATACTGATCAAAACTCGCAAAGTGAGCTTTGCACTACTTTAGAAAATAAAAATAAGGAATTATTAGAAAAACTTAAAAAATTTGCTTTGTCTATTAAAAAAAAGTCTGCTATGTACTCTGATCTAGAGAATCAGCTTAAAGATTTACAAAAACAATTTGAATTGAAATCTGAACAATATGAACAGGCATTGATACAAGTAGAAACAATTCCAGCATTGCAGGAAAAATTAAAACATGCAAATGAAGAAATTGATAGACTTACAACAGAAAAAAACCAATCCGAAGTAAAATATATGGATTGCCAAAGAGAATTTATCTCTTTACAAAGTAAACATAGTGATAGCCAGGAAGAAACATCAAAATTAATTGAGTTCTTGAACTCGGAGATCAAGCGTAGCCAAGAAGAGAGCGTTCAACTGAAATCTTATATCGATAGTCTCAATAACAAAATTGTAGAATATGAAATAGAGCAGAAAAATAATACTAATCTTTTGACTAAAATTTCATGTCTTGAAGTAGATATAAATCAAAAGCAAGCGCAAATTATACATTTAACGAATGAATTACAAAATCAAGAACAAAACTTAAATCGATTACAATTTGGTCATGACGCTAAGGTTCAAGAGCGTGATATGTATATTGAAAACTTGCAGATTGAAATGGAAAAATACAAAAGCCGTATAGATCGATTACAAGAAACTATATCCGTTATGGAGAATAGAAGACAATCTTTAGAAAGAAAAGCAGACCAATTAGATGTTCAATTACTAGAAAAACAAAAGTCTTATAGTGAGTACACAACTCAAGAAGATGAACTCGTGACACGTTTGGCTGTTCTAATGGATCATGATAGGGTTTTAGAAAAACAACTTCAAGAAATCGAAAAGGATAACAAAGAATTGCAGAATAAAGTACAGAATTTGACCGAAGAGCTACTTACTATACAAAATTCTTATTCCAATCTACAACAACATTGCAGTATTTTAGAAAACAAATCTTCTAAAGTAGAAGCGTTAGAGATAGAAAATAGTTCATATAGCTCTAAAGTTGAAGGCCTAGAAAATGAATTAAGGAAACTTACTTTGGAACATCAGCATATTTTAGCCCAAAGGACAGTAGATATTGAGGATATTGAGGCAGAGTTTAACACTCAGATTGAATATGCTATTAAGGAGAAGAAAGTGATTAACGAAAAATATGAAAAGCTGAAGGAGTATGTGGATAGGTTAGAGAATGACATCCAAGAGTATAGAAACACAATAGAAAATCTTCACATTAACATTAATGAACTATCAAGCCAAAACAAAAAATTGAATGAAAAATCAATAGTGGAAAGTCCTGTAACTCCAGATTATACAGATCAGTATATTACTGAAATTAATAGACTAAATGCTGTTATTAATAGCAAGAATAACCAAATAGATGAGTACAAAAGCAATATTAATACATTAGAACAAGAGTTGAATTCATTGCGATCTAGCGTAGAAAGTAAAATAGATGAGATATCGATGAAACTTATGCAAAGTGAACAACAATTGGACAATTTGCTTAAAGAAAACGAAGGTCTGAAATCAAAGAACCTCGAATTAAATGACTTAGTATGTCAAAGAGAAGACCAAATTAAACAACTTCTGGAAAATAAAAAGGTTGTGTTTGAAATGAATATACCAAAGACAGAAGGAATGACTATATCGTCAACGATTGAAGAGTTGAGTGATGAACAGAAATCTTTGTCAGCATTACAGTCACAAATTCTTTCTGACACAGAAATATCCAATCAGGAAATTATGGTTAAAAAGGAAACAATTAACGTGGAAAGATCACTAGATACGGCTCAGTCATCTCATAGTTCAGTTGAACCCTTAATCGTGCCCAAGAAAGCATATTTGTGTTCTAATGAAGAGCATAGTGACATAAAGGATCCATTCAACTCCGACGAAGGTTGGGGTTTCGGAGACAGCGAAGAAACTTATGACGTAACACCTGGAATTACACAGTTAAGTCAAGAAATAGAAAAACTTAAGAGTACTAATGAAAATTTGAAAAAAGACCTCGATAGTTCTAATGGGAAATTGATTAAAGCGTTGAAAAAATTAAAGGAGTTGAAAAACGCCAATGATATGTTGGCAAATGAATTGAAAATTTCTAAACAGATAGCTAATACTTCTATGTTAGACATGGCTATAGAAAGCGAATTATCTAGCAATCTTGAGATACTGGAGAAAAAGGTTCAAGAGCTAAACGAAACTCTTAAAAAAGAGAAGAGAGATAAGGAAACGCTCAGTAAACAAAATGAGATTCTGAAAAGCGCAAATGAAAAATTAATAGAAATGAAAGAAAAGATGGATAACGAAATAGAGTTATGGAAATATAATTTCAAGCAAGCGAATGATAAAATATCTTTATCTAACCAGCCTTCTCAAATTGAAATTTCGCATGTGAACCGAGCGCACTCTGAAATGACTACTTTAACTAGAAAGGGTGATATTAAACTGGAAGAAGAAGTAACTAAACTCGAAAATGAGAACGAGGAATTACAAAATCTTGTTGATTCTTTAAGTTGCAGCAATAAAGAACTAACAGATAAGGTTCACGTATTAACTAGTGAAATAAATATTCTCACTCAGAAATCTTTAGATTTGGATAGAAGTAAATCTTTAAAATCTGAGCTAGATGATTTAAAAATCACTCATAACCATTTAAATAATAACTATGAAAAACTAAAAGCTGAAGTTTGTGATTTACAGAAACAATCCTCAGAACTTCTAGAAAACAATCAATATTTAAAATCGTCGTTGGAATCTCAACAAATATCACATGAAAGTGATAAAAAGTATATAATTGAAAACTCAGCATTAGTAAGTGAAATACAAACACTTAAAGTTGAAAAAGAAGAAATCTATCATCAAATTAATTCTTTAAAGAGTTCTCTCGAAAATGCCGAATCATTGTTACAACAAGAAAAGCAGAATGTAATAGAGAACAACCAAAACGCAATAGCAAAACAATACGAAGATATTCAGACAGAATGTGAAAATCTAAAAATTCAGATAAACAAGGCCAATGAAACAATTAATGATATCACAATGGAAAAGTCTTCATTGTTAGAAAAACACCAAGATCAAATTAATGATTTAGAATCAAAAATTGATAAGTTGAACTTAGAAAACGACCAGCTTTTGTCAACTGTTACAGAATTGCGGTCTTCGGTGTCAAGTGCCATGGATCAGCGTGGTTTTGAAATCGCAGAATTATGGAAACAGCATTTGGCACAAAGAGAAAGTGAATTCCAATCTATTGAACAGGATCTTAGAATGCAACTAAATGCTTCTGAAAGTAAATATGAACAGTTTCTTGAAAGTGTGCAATCATCCACTCAGGAAGACACAAATAAAATATTAATATTAGAACAGGTAACTTCGCTTCAAAACAAACTGCAAGATAAAGAAGAATATTTAAATACTTTACAAGAAAAATATGCAGATGTCATACATCAACTAGATTTATTGCGGTCAGAGATGGAAGACGAAAAACTGTTACATGAGAATAAATTACTGGTTCAACAAGAAGAATACGAAAAATCTATTAAAGATTTGCGTAGTGAGATGCAAAAACATATAGATGAAAATGAATCTATTGCCACGCTTCAGACAGAGCTTATCGCGACCAAATCTGTAAACGAAAGCTTAAACCAACGTATCGAAGAAATCTCCAAAAACTATGAACTTAAGATATCTGATTTATCAAAAATAATTCAACAAAAGGACAGTGAGATATTTCAAAAAACACATGATTATACTATTATGCTTGCCGACAGGAATAATGAGTTTGAAGGTGTTAGAAAACAATTTTTGGAGTATGAAAAGAGAGTTGAGGATTTAACTTATGAAAAAGAAGCCGAACTGGCTATTCTCAGGCTTAAGATGCATGAAAACAGTGAACATTACCAAAAAGGACACACAGAGTTAGAGGCAGAAAAGCTAAGATTATCACAAGCGTTGAATGAAAAGATTGTCGAATGCACTAATCTTAATAGGCAAATCACTGACTTGAATAGAGTACTTGAAGAATACGCGAACAGAGCCGCGGAAACCCAAATCGTTTTGGAAAGTCAAGAGTTGGAGATAGTAACGCTTAAAGACGAAATTGAAAGTATGAAAACAGCGATGCGCGCTGCCACTACAAGGATTGAGAAACACGTAACTTTCGCCTCTGATACTAAAACTGGTTCCGGAGACCCTACAGAGGGTATAGTGAATAAGGAATTATTGGATGCTGTACCGAGAGCAGAGTTAGACCTAGCTTTGTACATGCTGCATCAGAGGGACGTGCGCTGTGAGGAACTGACGATGGAATTAACGCAGCTGTTAGAGGAGAGGGATACTTTGCAGTTACGATTGTCGGATAGCCTTCGATCGTATGAAGAACTCAAAATGCGGTACAGCTCAGTGGGCCTTGATGTCTCGAGTTCGAGCCAAGATACAATATCGGAGCTTCCGAGCTTCAGCGTAGAGAAAGAATCGCAATTTGTAGATACGCATCGTACGCCGGCGTCGAGGAGTAGCAGCATAAGTGAGACAGACGGAGAGAAACCTAAATTGCAAGCTAAGTGAGTATTTTAGAATATGTCACGTTTTAAGTTTTTTTAATATGTAGAAATTACGTATTTTATTTATTACTAACTGTGGCCGCGACTTCGTCTGTGTAGAACATTTCGCGGACATATATTTGGATCGTTTAAAGAGGAATCATTCACATTTTTTGGGTGTTTAGAACCGTACCCACAACGAGAAGCCGTTAACCCACGAGGAATAATTTTTCCCCATTTCTCCTAATTTTTCACTGTTTTTTAAAAAAACCGTGGGAAATGTGAGAAACTGGGATTATTATTGCACGTGAATCTCAGAAACTGCTGATGACATCACGCTGCATCCAACGTGTCCAAAAAACTCTTCAACTTTATAATTTTAGTATAGATAAGTAGCGTTCTAATCCGTTTAATTTTATAATGTTATAGGTTGTCCGAGTTGCGTAGCGTTAAGCACAGTCGAGACGTGCGTCTGCGCCACGAAAGCGAGCAACGTCAAATGGGCATGAGACTCCTTCAGCGAGACGTGGCCAACCTGCCCCCAGAGGCTGTTGAACAGCTCAATCAAGCACATCACACGCTCTGTAAGTAATAAAAATAGCTGGTGGACGGACAAATTTGTGACTATGATTTTATGGGAGATGTATGAGACCAGTGATGCTCTAGAAGAAAGGAGAACCATTAACAATTAAATTCAAGAAAAGTAAAAAGAAGTACATGCCCTCTGATGATATTATATTGAAAACCTTATTATTTTTTACATGTTATTGCACATGAAGGCACTATATAATTTCAGCGTCAATCAATCAGCAATCATCAGCTGTTGCTCTAGCTCAGAGCAACAGCACGGAACGCTGACGATCCCGGTTCAAGCCCTGCCCGAGTCGTAATTTTTTTCAATTTATTTTCGATTTTTAAATGATATTATATTGTTTTATTGTGTTTCCTGTCTTCATCGTTAATATCTAGGCATTACCCATCTCTCTTGACACTGACAAATTGGAGTCAAATTCCTCTTTTGTTATAATTGTAGGATGACGATTAAAAATATACATGAAAACTTTTGTAAACGATTTAATACACAATTCTAATACTTGCCGATGTCAACAATTTATAACAACTTAAAATGATCAAGATAAACCATGTAAATAGTAATAAGGAATTATAATCAAAAAGCTGCAATATACTATGATACTAAATATAATAATTCTTATCAAGACTTTTTTGTTTCAGCTCGCGATTCCCAAAGCACGCCCACTGTACTCCTGAACTGGCTTCGTGGAAAGAGCACTCCTAAAGTTGTCCATATGTAATTTGTATATTAATGTTATATAGTCTGTAGAAACATCTGCCTTATGAACGGAAGAAGAGGGAGAAGAAGGGTGCTGTTTTCATATTACGTCTCTTTCACGCAAGTATCGTTTGAAGTTCAAATGAAAGAGACAAAATATTGAGTAGCTATCTTCTATTTACTAAAACAATAAGACAGTAAAGGTAAAGAAGTTGGGAAAGTGTTGCAACTTGTTGTTTCAAGCAAGAGAGCGAGTTTTCAAAATTTGGAGGTTTTGCTTACATTGTCACAGATTAAGATACATTAATTGTCACACAGAACACGTTTCTAGGCAAAAGTTTAGATTGTGCGCAACTTATTACTGTGTTATAAGCACTCGACACAATTCGATAGGGTTTTTGAAAATAAACGAATTTGAAATTGTGTATATTGCTTGCCTACGAACGACGATGTACGCTAGTGGTTAAATTTAATAGTATTTGCCCTACAGAGTATACAATGTTCTTTAATTTTAATTGTCAGTTTACGTTTTTATTTAATCTTCTATCATCTGTGTCTATATCTATGTTTATTTTCAGCCAGTTAATCTAATATTCTAAAACGAAACGACTATCCACGAATGTACGACCGCGATATAGTATTTATATAATAACTTATAAGTTAATTTGATGCAATTTAATACAATCTAATGTTTATCAGCTAACCAAAACTGACTGATAAAAGCCGCGAACGGTGCTTTTTTGAAATCGGAGTTTTATTATTTGTTAGAAATGCTTCCATATGTATATATTAAAATTATGTCTTATCCAAAGTGATTGTGCAGCATTTGTATATGATATTGTATAAATTTCCAATTAAATGTTAATTGAATTAACTCTTAGTTTTATTCTCGCGGTATTGGGAAATGATTTTCAACGAAAAACTATATTTTTATCGTACTTTGAACCATAAAAGTGAGTATAAATTATTCTGTCAAGAGGACAAATGGATCAGCACACTAGAAACTTCAAAGTTGTAATACACGAAGCATTATTTTCCTCTGTAAATGAATCTTTAGGAAGACCATAAATAGGATTTTTTTAGGACAGACAAGTATGGGGTTTACATGATAGTAGGTGAAATATAACATCCCAAAAAGATTCGTTGTCGATCTATTTTAGCTTTGGATATTCGGAAATCCACAGGCTGAAAACGAAATCCGAGCTTCACGCTTTTTCATCTGTGGAATGTGGTTCGTGTTCCGAACGGAATTTCGGTTTAAAATCCAGATTTCCAGACAAAGTCTGTATCTTTCAGAAAAATTGCAAAACCTTGAAGAGAAATAAAAAATGGTTAATTTTGAACATTTTTATTTGCAGATTTATTTCTACAGCATAAAGTCAACGATCGATTCATTAGACAGAGCTAACTTAAATATAATAATCACAAAAACTTAATTACGTCAAGACACGTGCAAGATCGCCGCAATGGGACCTTCACAACTAACATTTCTAAAACCTTAAACAAAATGTGCGATAGAAATGTATTTTTAAGATCACATAATGTGGGCCGGGCTAGACCTCGCCCTCTAAGATATCCGTATCTGGCGTTTAATCCTTAAATTCTACTTTTAACAATCTTACTCTACGTCAAAAGCCAGTCCAAAGCCAAAAGCATTAAATAAACTAATATAACGCGTATATCTTCCCCCAGTTTCATATATAACAATAAAAGATATTATTCTGATAAGTGATATTATACGTAAATACCACAACCGATATAATATTTACACGATAATTATCTCTGTCCGTTTAACGAATCTTTGCATAAGTCCCAGATTAATAAGTGCTCTGTATGAAATATATTTATCTATATAGTAGTGTATTTTCTATGCCGATAATCTTGATTAAAAAAATACTTTTATTTAACTTATGGCACCGATGCTTATAGCATAACATACTTTATATGTACAGTTACAAAGTGTTATTTACATATGATGTCCTTAAAGATACAAGATTAAAGGAAAGTAACGAAACTTTTTCAGATAAGGTGCTGTTAGCCACTTCTGAATCTTACGTTTATGTGGAAGACGTTGGACTAAATAGGGGATGTCAATGCACACAGCATTCTTATAGTAATACCTAAAATGCAATCTATATAAAACTCTTAGATCTTATAACTAAAGTTAGCAAGTCTACGCCACCCGTACTTACATTATGATAAACTATAATAATATCTGTGGAAACTATATCACATTTATAGTAAAGTTTTACTTATCTCTATGTCTACCACAAAATAGAAACGTTAAGTACGAAATGTAGTTCTAATGCCTATCGTGTCACCACATATTTCCAAAAGTCAAAGTTTTAGGAACGATTTTCCATGGAAACGATCTTAGGGCTAAACTATTCGTAATTTAATCACATCCTTCTTTATCAGATTTTGCTTATATCAAACTTACAAGATAGGTTTAACATTGTAGGTACTTCTAAATTAACATATTATGACTGGAAGTGACTATGCAATCGAGTTTAAACCGTTATGTCAATCTATCATCTATCACATTATATGTTAGGCCCTAAAAACTACTATAAGTTGGTACAACGTCAAAAAGGAACAAATATACTACGCCATCTTAGTATGATTCGTAGGTTTGTAATATTAAATAATATAATAATATACGTGAATTTTTAGCCCTTTTCTACTGCAAATATAATAGTTCATATGTATATTTCAATGGAAATGCCACGGTATTATAACAGATGATATAAAAGTACGAATTGCCCCCATATTGGTGTGCACGTCGTCCATTCTATAACTTGTTTTTTCTTTCGACTCAAATCTCCTCGTAAGTCTGTATACTGTATTTTGTACGGAGGCAATATAAAAAGTATATATTGATTGATAATATACTTTTACAGAAGCGTAATTTATTGCCTTCCCCCAATATATATAATAATGTTTAAAAGTATGCATATAATAACGATAATTTTAAATGCAAACGGCAATTTATGTTACAACTAAGTACCTATTTCATACTTGAATTTTCCTGTCGCCGTAAGCAATCCTCGAATAACTTGGAAAATAATTGTTAATAACACATGTTTAACTAATCGTTATGCTGTACATTTGGTCCCGTATACAACAACAGTTAACAATAAGTTATAGTTATAACTGATTTTATAGTATCGATAAATTGTGTAATTTAAAATTCCTATAAATAAAGAGGTAGTTCGTAATTTCAAGAAATTATCATCTAATAACGTATGGTTTTTATATCCGAATAGACAAACGGTTCAGTGCGTCGTCTCTGGTCATGTAAGAAATGTGGAGAAGAGGCCATGGCGAGTAGCACAAAGGGCATATCTAACTTAAACTAAACAATGTACATGCAAGTACCTATGTTAGACACAATGTCAGTCTTATTATCAGTTCTTGATCACGGATGCACCGTTAAATGTTCTAGTTTATAGTATTCTCGTACTGCACCGATATTAAAGCAACAGCCCGTGGACTTGACCACTGGAGCAGTTCAGAAGTGGACATCTCTGACGTCGGTGGGAGTGGCGGCGTTATTGTGCGCCTTGTCTTGGGTCGGTGGGGGCGTCCATCCTGCCTCCCGGCTCTGACCGTTTGGGGCAGAGACGACACGTTCAATCAGCCCCTGGACGAGCTCTTCCATTTGCTCGAGGCACGTTTGCAAGCAGTCCTGTGACCAAAAAATAGCTTTTAGTAAGCTTTGTCTAGTCTGACCCAAGCGAAATCGATTCAAGAATGAGCCTTCGGCTTCAGTCGGTTAATAAGAGGAAATTTAGATTTTGCGTGTATATATTATTAACGCTTAATTGATAGATGTAAAAATTATAAATCAATCAATCATTTTACATACCAAGTCGATTCCGGTCAGGTCGTGTAAGCGAGGCAAATGCCCGTCTAAACCGAGCCCTCTCAGAGCCGCTGCAATGCTGCACGCTGCTAGTGTGCTCGCTGAGTATAGAGTGAACTCGTAATCTAGAACAAGAAAATAATAGTTTAATATAAGATTAGACTGAATCAGAATTACGGCCTATAGAAATGGAAAGCTATCCAATACTTAGATAGAAATAGTATAAAGATAAGTTATGCTAGAAATATACCATAGTTACAGTCTATGGAAAGTCCCCTCATGTTGGAATAAGTACATAAAACTGATTGGCGTTAACGAACGAGCTTGCTTTGCGATATCAGTTTGAAACCGGGTCAGAACGGTTACAAACATCGGAGGTACCTCGCAGCGGATGTGAAGTTATTTTGTATTTAACGAGCGGCAACTACTTGTCATAAATTATAATTATGCGCGCGTATATTTCGCGGATTTTCCCAGTGAGGTGCGCGGTTGTCAACACATTAGGTGGCGCAAAGTAAAAGGGTATCGGGTAATAAAATGTGATCCTCGTATCCCCGCAGGTTGTTGGTCCCTGTCTGGAGCACAGCCTCAAAGGGGCCGGCATCCGCCCTCGCGGCCGCATTCCTCGCTCTGGCCGCACGACCGATTCACTGGAATATTTCTCACGAGCTCGCTTCGTAACATTATTACCTATACGATAGCCTAAAAAGGCCGCTATCGACCGATTCGGCCGGACAACTCGGATTGAATCGATCAAGCTGCGTCCTTAACGTCCACTAATTGCTTTAAAATTAAGATTTCTTTTTGTCCCTCCAACTATCTCGATGAACATAGCTAGGCGTCTCGTACCGTTTTTGTTTCTATTCATTATCATTTGCCTGTCCGTTGCATTTGTGAATTGATAAAACAAGAGGAAAATTTATTCGACCTCGCGTGTAGTCTCGCGAACAAGGGCTCGAGCTACACAAACGTCCGTTTGTGAATTGAGGAGCGAGGTTATTAAAAAATGGCCGCCAAAAAAAAATTGAAAAACCTCTATCGCTATTGAGACGCATAATCTCAAATTCTGAAAAGTATGGGAACGTAGACAATATGGACGGAGCATCCGAGAGTCCTCCTTTCTTTATTAAGTATATTCCATTATATCGAACGACGTATGGATACCGAACACTCTTTCAGCTTCACTTAAAGGATTTTTTTAATTTGCATGCCGGCATACCGGAGATAAAGGGCCTGTGGGAAGGAGCAAAAACGAAGATATGAAACAAGGAGAGCGGCCGTTCGGCGCTCAGTCGAATTTGCATAATCTGATGTTAATCAAACATTGAAGCCCTACCGCTTCGAAGTTCCGACCGGTCCCACGGGCGAGAGCCACCAATGTGGAGTGGCAGTTTCCTTCACGGAACCCCAAAATGAATTAAGTACTTGATTGATATGACTAAAGTAAATTAGTGTGTAGATCTTTCCGAAAGCAAGCGCACGCGCATGTCAAATTTCTAAAACCGTTAACGCATTTAGGCGGCTTAATGGATTTCGTAATATGCGGAACATTTACTAGTGCACGCAAAAATTCTTCATTTTATTTCATTTACTAATAGCTATTATTGGTATATGGTTTATCTATACTAATGTAAGATGAAGAGTTTGTTTATTTGTGCTAGTTATATCATTTATCGAGGAAGGTGTTGGCTATAAAACAACACGCTGCAACAAATAGGAGCGAAGAAACATTTTTGAGGGTTTCCGTTGCAATATATTGTAATAAAAGTATATATATTTGTCTATCTTTTAAGATTAACTTGCAAGAACGACGGGACGCGACCGACGTCGTGGGTCTTAACAGTTATAATTTATACAAATGAGGAGGACGTTTAAATACAGACATTTGATGCCCAAACTAACTACTCTACGAACGACATCGCTGGCACAGCTAGTGAACAAATAAACTCGCGTTAGGAGTAGTAGAGGAAACGCGAAGCGACTTCATGTATTATGACATAATCATTTTATTAATATCCTTGAACATGTATGGAAGTACCAAGGAGACATCGTTTTGTCTAATGTTCGACGGCTAAGTATTTGCGAGGTGAACGATCTCGCGAGGCCGCGCTAGTACAATGTATAGTTACTTCTATGATTGGTCTATTGTCGAGTCGACTATTTGAAGCTAATTATTACACTTATCTACTACTACTTAGGACAAGAAAAGAAATCTAGGCTCAGGCTTGAAAATGTAATTATTACAAAAAAAAATGAAAGCATTAATATTTTTCACATGTTATTGCACATGAAGGCACTATATAATTTAAAAATCGAAAATAAATTGAAAAAAATTCTCGATTCAATCGATTTCAATCAGTCTTCAATTTATTTTTGATTTTTAAATAAAAAAAAAAATATTTAACTACATACTGTTAACTTCCTCTACGATGTATCTAAAATGTAGGGACGTAGATTAACTTAATTAACTAATATAAATATTTCTAGTAAACCGTTAAATGTGTTTTATTTAAGTCGACGTGTCAATAAAAGTTTTTATTTTTAAAAGTCTTAATCTTAAACATTGTGCAAAAGATATCCTCGTACTGGCTAAGAAGCGTATCTTGAAAAATAACTGCTAAATAACCCATTACGAATTTAATACCCTTTCAAGTTATGACTCGCTGAGTAAATTGTACCATTCGAATAATGATACATAATGCGGGTTGGCTTGATACTGAGAAACTAACTACCACTTCACGGAGGGCAGGATATACATATAGATATATGTGTCGGAGAAAACGAAAGTTCCGATGGATGCACCTCGCATCATTAAAGCGATTTCGGTTTCAGACAAGCTTAGATTTTTAAATACACTTTTAACGGTTTAAAACGCAAAATATATTGAGCTCATTTTCAATTAATTTTACGGACCGACATTTTGGATGCTTTACAGCGGTCGTGGTCGCGAGGGCGTAGTGAAAATCAACTGTAAATAAGTTAACCAATATATTAGGTTTTAGGTTTAAAGAATTTATTCTCGAAGATTATATATACAATCACTTATGAGAATATACATAGCTTATTATATAAAATACTTACAATTCAGTGCATTGCCAGTTTTAAATAACATAAAGTAAACTTTTAAATATACGAGGGTAGACAATTTGAGTTGTGATATATTTCGCGTTTTAAACCGTTAGTGTTTAGACTCATGTAAACCACAGACAATATTTGAGCTTTCTTTATCTATTTATCTATCGATGTTGTAGTTATAATCTGATAAATGATAAAGGTTGGACTGTTCCAATTCATATCGCATTTTGATCTTAATAAAACGTGATAAAGAAATTAAATAGTAATTATATAAATACAAATCATATTATTATTACTGACACTTTTATCCGAAAGTTTAATTAAAAATTTTCTGTAAGTGTTGGACTTCGTCTGAATGTTAAATGCTGTGAAAAGCCGTGTTAAATGCCGTGAGTTATCATAAAGCAAAATCGACAGCTTTAGATGGCATATTACTAAAAACGAGATTATTTTTATTTCTAATAGCTATGAATCACGCGCGGTTAAGAATTGGTGAATTAACGTTCAAAGCTTTCAAAGCCGGCTAAACGCCGCTAAGGAGAAATTAATCTGAGTGAGGTTAGCCGATACCCAAGGAGCGAGTGAAATAAAAGGGCCCGAGCGTGAACGCTGCCAAAAAAACAAAGACGTCGGGCGGCGAACAACAAAAACCGTTGCATAAAAACATATGATATAGAGGGGCGAGGGGCGCGGGGCAGGCCCGAGGCGTGCTGGAATGCGCTCGAGCAAGCCGCGTGGGAGGCGCTGGCCTCACACACTCTAACCCTCACTGTAAACAAACCTATTCACATCTCACCAGCATCCCGGGCCCAAAGAAGCCAACAAAAATCCGCACGCAACATTCTTCGACCCGCCGAGCCTATTCTTGGCTATACAAATAACGAATTGCCCTTTATATCCCATTATGTATAGCAGAAATTCACCTACCATGCACTAATCTACTAAAAATACAATACTAGTAGTTAACGCGTAATTCAAATAAAACACTTTAACGGTTTAAAACGCGATATATAAACTCGTTTGAAAATAATTTTAACTACGGCCCGACGTTTAGGATGTTTTACAGCAGCCGTGGTCATAGGGAGACTAAAGATGGAGGGTGTCTCTGACGTCAAAGTACTAAAAATTGTCTGCTTAATACACGAGTCCAGCCGTTTTTGTATTTGTATCTAAATAGATTGCAATTACAAACCTCATTTAAATAAAATACTTTTAACGTATGTGAAATGTATAAGTTATTTTATTTTAACTACGACCCAACGTTTCAGACGCTTTGACCACAACTACTACTAGTTAAACAGTTTTAACACCAAGAAGATAACTAGTACATTTCGCGCTTTAAACCGTTAATAATGTTTTATTTAAACCTTTATTACTTGCGTAAACAACAGACTATACAACCACAAAGGGGGTTTTTTTTTTTTGTTTTTTTTTTTTTTTTTTTTTTTTTATAACTTAAGGTAAACCGATTTCGGCGGAACCAGATAGAATTTTGCGTCTTGCTGTATCTGATAAGCTGTGCCACAGGACGCTAGTCAAAAATGATTCGGAATGCATTGTCTGACGTAACTAACATGAATATGCATCTAAAACGTGTTCCGGTTTGAACCTTAACTTGCCTATTCATTTGTCGTGTCAGGTTCAGTGACACGTAACAATCACATGAGAGGTGCCGCGAACTGGGAACAGTACTGGAGACACGAAGTGATCAATATCGAGTTTAATTACGCAAATGTAACTTCCAGGATCCACGTGAAGTTGGATTTTAACTGATTAAAACGCATACATAGGTTTGAAGTTATAAGAATCAATTGAATAAATATGTAGTGAGAATCGAAGGCAAAATCTCCTCAGTCTTGAAGATGGATTTACAATAATACGAAATAAATCATCTTTTTTTATTATGAGAGAACACAGCAGACAAGCACGGGTAGTTAGTTGGTACTCGATGGTAGGTTACCCTAGTCATATAAAATCTAAACAAAACCCACGACCCGCATTACTAACCATTCATTACTAATAGACCAGTCAATATATAACAAAATGTAAAATTAATTATTTTGATTATAAACCGACTTTTGTGATGCTTTAAATGAGGAAAACCTAACTATTGTTGTAATCGGCCAATTTAAGTGTTCGTTAGTGCACACGGCGCATTCGCGGTTTAAGTTTCGATAACTGCGGCATTGTATTTGATCTGTGAGTATTCACAATTCCCACAGAACGGGTTATGTAACAAATTCAAGTGCGAGTCGGATTTGAGCATTCGGTTCCGTACCATTTTGCTGCAACCCCCTGCATCCCCACCCCTCCCTGATCTAAAAATATTAATTTATTTTATTAATTTTCAAAGTAATTATTACATACAGTCTGTAGTTAAAGCGAAACCTGTACATTTAAATAAAAAAACTTAACTATAATATATTTCGCTTTTTAAACCGTTAAAGTGATTTATTTAAATTCCGGTACGAATCGAGTTATTTTCGTTATCAGTGTGAATTTATTTCGTGGAGTTTCCCTTTGATATATATTTTTAGTCCTTTATGGATAATAATGTACAGACAATTTAGGACGCACGGACAGTAGATGAGAAGTGTAATAAAGGATCATATTTTAACCTTTAGCTACGGAACCATAAATTAATAAAAGCTTACCTCTCACTGCAACTGTAATGAACGTCTGGGCATGCCGTTGTACCATTTCACTAGTGACGCGCCCGCGCAGTGGTAGTCGTGAGATTAGAAGCGGTAGAAAGTCGTGCGCCGTCACTCCGGCCACGTCCCATTTCAACTTCGACAGCACGAGAAGCTCCCAACTCTGTTGACAATATTATCTTCTATTTATTTATGAGAATCCAATAGTCATTTAAATTAACGCAATCCTTATAATTATACGATTTTAAAAAATATATATATTAGTTAAATTTGAAAATTATTGAAACTACGTCAAAGCATCTGAAACATCGGGCCTAGTCAAACAATTTTTATATCGCGTTTGAACTATTCCACTTCAGTATTTAGATTTAAGGTGACTGAAATATGCGACCTGATTGTTTTACAGGGGTTAATGGCAATGATATGAAGTGAAGATTAGCAAATCTAAAGACAACACAAAGATGTGCTTATTGGCTATTATAATAATGGTGCATTCCACTCGGCACATCCGCTGCACAATCGTAAACACGAGGTTCGCTCGACTTCCCAGAACGAGACGTAGGTAGGGCCCAACTTCCGACACATTGTTCAGCTTTATAAGTCAATAATCGTCGTATTTTTATGTCTACTCTAATCGGCCCCTAGATCAACAAACGCAAGTGAGCATAAGACACTCTATATACTGCTACTAAAGCCAAAGAAGCAAAGCAATACCCAAGCTAATTATAATCATATTAGTTATATTATTATTTCTTTTTACTATTAGTCTCCGTGTGCGCAAGCAACTTTTTATATAAAACACTTTAACGGTTTAAAACGCGATTTATATTAGTTCAACTTATTTGAAAATTATTTTTAACTACGTGTTTTGTATATATGTCGCGTTTTAAACCGTTAAAGTGTTTTATTAAAATGTGTATTATTCACTTGTTGGGAGGTAAAACTCCCCAGCCATATACCATATAAACAAGATGCGCTGTCGGCTTATTTTGGCTTTGGATAGCTTTTATGTACAAAATTATAATAAAAAAACCACCTACACGCCTGTATTTCTAATTTAGAAAACGTTGTGTTTATTATAATTTGTGTAAAGTGAATCTAATATAAAAAATCTAAAAACATGTCTGTTCAAGTATTGGCTTCTCATTAGTGCCAAATAGCTTGCCTTTAGCTGTCCAGGTTTGAAATAAATGATTAATACAACTCAGACTTCGTATAAAACAGTCAATCTTTCAACGTTACCCACAGATAGAGAATTTATTTTCTTCAAATTTTGACAATCGAACGTTTCTGCGTTTGACCTATATTTATTATTACAATATGATAAGAACGACCTCTGTGAGCCGAGTTTCCGATATGAATGGTGAGTTTTATGAATAACTTGATTATTTTGTGATGATCACTCACACACGCGACATAGCCGTTGACTCGATGTTTACATAACTCAAAGGATGGGGTCGGCCCGCAGTTGCGACGAGCGTTTGAGCTCATCTTGACATATATGCGCCTAACACAAATAGTAATAAAGTTCAGATTTGTACATCGAATGCGACAAGTTAAGACCTTTTGATAGTGGAGACTGTACTTGTGAATGAACAAGGCCCTCGATATGAGATCTGTGTGCGTCAACCGTGCGGTCTAAGTAATCCGGTTAATATGAAGGATATAATGGCTAAGTAACGCTTTGAAAGTAAAAAGAACAGGTGAGCGAGTGGTTAACGCTGGTGGTATGCGGGTCGACCGCGGTCTGAAGGGATTCTCGTCTCGCTATCATTGAAAAACAATGCACTCATAAAGTGTACCGCAGATGCCGCTTAGCAACCTCACGAAAAGTACAACTCTACGACGATAGGTCCACCAATAACATGTGCCGTTTTTCCCTACGTATATCGATTTATTTAATGATAAATAGTTGAGACTGACATGTGTGCCCTGCTAGACCGATAAATAAAAAAATTTTTTTTTTTTTAGAAGGGGGTGGGCCCCGGGGGGGGAAAAAACCCCAGGGTTTTTTTTTTTCTTCTTGGGGTTTTGGGTTCCCCCCCCCCCTTTTTTTTTTTTTTCTGGGGGGAAGGGCCCCCCCCTGATTTTCAGCCTTGCTTTCAGATTTCAGTTCGTGTGAAAGTGCAAATAGAACTCGAGACGTGCGGAATGCGCCTCATAAATTTCCAAGTCGGTGTTCATTAGAGACTGGCGCGGTAGCAGTTAAAGAGCCACGTTACAGCCAATAAAGCGTGCTATGCAAACAGCCCTCTGCGACACACTCGCTGAATTCCACACTCGTTCCCATGCTTCGTCCGATTTCAACCTCGGCGACCGAAGGGCGATTATTGCTTCGGAATTTAAAACAACTATAAACAGTTCTAAATTTAAAATAAGTACCGCGCTGGTCTAGTCGTGGGTTGAAAGTATGCGCGAGAGTTGCAAGTGTCAAAAGGTAGCTTAATTGGTTAGGGCAACGCAACGACAACACTGTGTGCCGGTTCAATCCTGCTACACTATTTTTTTTTATATAGTAAGTAATACCATTTCTTTTAAACGTTAGTTATTGGCTGGAAAATCTAGTTATTTGAGTGTTGGCAATATCGACAAGCCATGCGCGTGTCAGTCCTCCTTTGTTGTAAAGAGTACAATTAAATGACACTTCCGACGTGTTAAATTTATAAATGACTCATCTTTATTTGAATATCATAATTACTTAATCTAAGAGTAATGTATTATGCTGTTCGTAGCATTTTTGTCGAAAACCTAACAAGTTGCATACCTAAGTTACCACGAGTATGCAAAACGTGATATGCATACTAGAACAGAGCTGATGTAACACATTATCAAAGCGAATTCCTGTAAAGCGATGTTCGGTTGCGGAACATTTTATGGCATGTAAATTTCATAGTAAATTCTGTGCTTAATGTATGTTACGAAAATATTGTCAACAGCTTGGAAATTGTCGAACGTAAAATGCTCATAAGCGAGTATTTCTCATAGTTAATTAGATATCTACAATAAGGGGTAGATAACATTTTTTCTAGAAGCCAACGTAACCGCATTATTTTCGTTCACGTATTGTTCTGGCCCGCATCGAATAGTTTTTATTTAACGGAGTTTTTATAGGCAAAAAGGTTTTAGTGGTGAATGTTTTCAATTTATTACCGCAACGAAACAGAACTTATAGACGATGTTTTGTGGTTTCATGTACGGTTTGTAAAAATGTGGATTATGTGTTACAAAAGTTTACAACTACAAAAGGTAAGTGATGGTTATCATCTAGAACAGAACGCAATATGTAGCACTCCATATACACAACTAGTAAAAATGTTACACGTGACTATTAATACTAATAATTTCTACAGGCTTCGTCGTACAAAAAGTGCATTGATTTGAAGAACACGATGGTGTATCGCTGCGCTAAGTATGGTGATATTATGAGTTGTTCTGGCTTCGGTCGAGGTTTCTTTGGCAAACAACGAGGTGCCGGGCGCGGAATGCGGCTCGTCCAACCGCCCCTCTCACCTGAGAATAACCCGTGGGAAACAATAGCAAGAAAGTACAACTCAAATTCAATACACGAGATTTTTATGGGGAAAACACGTTCTTATTCTGGATAATGATGGCAAAAACTGTAATTAGATATTAATAACATCGCATTGATCGCTAAAAGCTATTAACGCTGTGAGATAATTTTATCGTATTTACTACTATATTATACTTTCCACCGTTGCTTGCATGCTAAGAAATGGGTACTTACATAATAATGTATGCATGATACTTCTAGAGTATAATGCCTTCATTATAAATTAAAAACTTATGCTAGAAAATCAATTACGTAATTTAATTTAATTTTCGAATATTTTTCATTTGTCAATGTCGTTATTCTACTTTTCGTGAGTCAAGCTCGTTTCTCGGTTTGATTCAAGTTTCGAACAAAAAAACTAAAGTTACAAAGAATTCTGATTACAAATCAAATTAAGGAAGTCAAATATCATCCATTTTTGCTTGCAGTCAGTATAACTTAGCGCTCATTCATTTGCGGCGGAAACAAATATAACCGAGCCGTGAGATTTGCAAACAAGTATCAAATTATTTTCTTCTCGGTAATCCCTGTTGGAAGTTAAATTATTTATAATGAAACAATATAATCGTAATGTTTTCAGTTGGTTGGAACCTTATTTGTTCAAAAATAGAATTGTAATCCTTCATCTTACGAAGATCAGTTTAACAATTATGTAAATACACATTCATTAAAATAATGAGCGAAGGAACGGGTTATTGAGTTTTCTTTGAGCGGTGCCTAAAAAGAAAACCCAATTCACCTTATTCTTCAATTATAATAAGCGTTCGCGGTGTATGTGAGACCGCGCAGGTTTTATGGCGTGGCGGCGCGCTGTGATTCGAGAAGCCTGCATTAAGGCCAACTCGGTTCTTTTTGCTTTTGCTTAGTGCTTATCTACCTTGACGGGCTAAATAAGAACAATCATTTGCTATAATACACGTATGAAAAACACGCCCCGCTTCTGTCGACTTTTACACGATATTTTCCTATTTGAAATTACCCCATATCACAAGAATGTAAATTGTACCACGTTGAACTACTTTAAATAACTAATTTTTGAGGAGTTTTAATTCGGTTAAACATTATTAGTACCACATACAAAATATACTGTACACACAGAAAAAAAACAATATATATTTTTCCTATTCTATATCATTCTTTCTTACAAACAATTACATTACTTCAGGATATAGGTACCTACTTAGAATAAATGGTAAACTATTTTTCAAAAGATCCGTTAAATTCCCAACAGGTTTAAAAACCTGTACGCATTACGTAGTTTATTGCTAACCGGCTTTTCGAGTATCTTAATTAATATAGTTATGTCTATAAAAGCCCTTTAAAATCATTTTGAATTAGTGTTGTTCGAACTAAATATGCTTTAATGTTTAAAAAGTTTTACTTTTTGCAAAGTACAATGCTACAACCAATACAAATAATAGTGAGTGAGTTTACTGCATATATAAAACGTTTAATAGGTTTTCTGGCAGACAGCGAATTTCCATAATAATGTACATATTAATTGCAGACACATCCGCCGTTCTAGACGCCCGCCATTCGTCTCACTTGGATAATCCATTTTAAATGAGCATATCTTTACATCCAGCCAGTGTGACGATGTGGTCTACATCTTTAATTGGAAGCATAATATTGGGAACATTTTTAATCTATTTACACTAAGTTTCACCGTTTAACGTCAGTTTAATTAATTTAATTGGATATGCTAAGTGTAACAGTTAACAGGCTTAATTTTACGTGACTCAAAGTGGGTCTACGATAGTTCGTAGAGCCGCTACGACAGTGCTACGCGCCTTCAAAAGTTTCTTAACTATTGTAAAAACAAATGGAGTTACTATTAATTATTGTTATTGAAGTGATAGCTTATAAGAGAGTCAGCTGATTCGTTACGTAACGCGTTATAGCGGCATTGTGTCTGTACTTTCAATATTAAATTAGACGACACAAATAATTTTTTGTTGGGCGTGTCGAAAAACACACGCAGAACTAAAAATGTTAAGTGATAATTATTGTTACTATTTTCAATTCTTTTTTTATTTAATATTGTGCAATTCAAATGTATCATAATATCATCAGTACGGAAATTAATGAGAAAGTAATGTTTTGAAATGTATGTAAATATGTACCACCTTAAATTACAATTTTAATTAAGTATCAATTATTATTTGTGTATGTTACAATGTTGAAGTTTCCAATTATATTTCCAAAGGTATATAAAATGGATAGTGTTTCTGGGACACTGATTTTTATAGCTTTGATTAACCTTATCTAGCTGGGCATATCTCTCGTTGTAGCGGGGACTCAATTCTGTTAATTCACTTAGACAGTGAGATGCTATCGATAGACTAGCGAGACGCCAGTGCAATAATACAATAACCATGTTTTTTAAGAGGAACGACAATGTTTAACTATTTTTGTATTTGCAAACTAAATGGTTATTATTTGATAAAACTTATTATGGTTAATAACAGTGCGCCAATATCACTATGGTATCACACATAAGGGGTCTCTTATTTTCACCATTATTTGTCTGCTTTTATTTACATAGATTTATTTAATGTCTCATTAAGTTTTAAACCTTCTTTAAAAATTAAGTATAAGCTGTTCCCTCCTTTTATACTTAAAAAGCTAGACTAGCGATAGGTCAGTGTAAATAGCAGAATCGGGAGTCAGATGTGAGAGACGAACACGGTTAGTCGTGGTTGTGAGTCCGTGAGAAAAAAATAAGCGGCATGCTCCGTCTGTAATTGGTCTGATTGAAACGCGGCTCTCGTTCGGTGCTTCCGAGAAGCCTGCGGCTCGTTAGGGGACACTGTCCGCAGGGATCCCCTCCCAGACCCGCTCCCTGCCGCATTCCTCGGAACCGATTTTGGGCCTAACTTTTTCCATCACCGAAATGATGTAATTCGCGTTACCCGATCAATAAAAGAGCCGCGTAGCGATCGGATAGAAATTCTACCGGCGCGAGCAGGTTGACCAATAAATAAGGTATGCGTTTATAAACTAAAGCCCTTTTCAGACTACGCTATTATTTTATCGCTCATAGCAACGATCTTACATGCGATTTTTAGACACGTTCACGTTTAACTGTACTAATTTATTTGCTATTAACATCACCATAATAATTGTCACGTGGTTTTGTCGTAGCTACAAGCTATTATATTATAGCGTAGTATGAAAGGAGCCTAAAGATGCGGCGTGCAGTTATTATCAACGAGAGGACAGCCGGGGCTCCAACGGGTGGCCGCCGAAATGCACTGCATATCCACACGAAACATTCGACATTCGACGCAAATGTAATAACATATCAACTGCGCATAAAAATATCTTCGTTCTTTTCGACAACTTTTTTGGTCTGTGGCCATCTATAAATCGTTATTATGGAAACCGAATATATTATACTGACCTGTCGGTGTACAAATTTAATAATTCGCTCGACAAAGTAAAACGCGAATAACTTTACCAAACAAAAAACATTAAAGAGTTTTCATCTATATATTCTTGCTGTATGAAGTAAAAATTATTTAATTTCTCAGTTAAAACACCATTAACCATGTATAATTGGTTCTTACGTACTAACTACTGTTGACTATTAAGCGAATGACCAAAAACCACATTTTAACAAAAAGATTGTAAAAAAATAAAAATAAGTTTTTTGACCGCAAATTAGACTAAGCTACAACTGTTTCCATAGCAACGAGAAGGAAAAATCAGCTGTTTTGTGTTAAAAGTAATTACATATTTTGTACCAGTGTGTGAATGTGATATAATCTATGATCAAGCGGTTGTAATGGTGGGCATTGACCGCAAGTACTATCGATCAACGTATTGATTAGGTCCTAGAAGAATAAAATAAGGGAAGCTACGCATCATTTATCAGCATTATTAGTATAAAAACATAATTAATATGCACTTTATATTGATTAAGTCTGTAGTTACGCGAATGGAATACATAAACAATATTTACAGTTTTAAACGCGATATATATTAGTGACTTTTTTAACCACATGGCGTTTCGAAAGCTTTGATCCCCCCGGTACTACTAGCTAACTTAAATATTTCGCGATAAAACCGTTAGAATTGTTTTAATTACTTTTTGTTGTAGAACGTTTAAACCGATTTCGGTTTAACTAAACGTATCTACGTAATCCGTTTAAATTTTTTCAAATTGCTTGAACGGTTGTGAACAAAGTAAAACGTAATACTATACACTTCCCATAGCTTGACAGTCTCGCCCCGACTTCTCATATAATATATCAAAAACTAGATTGTTAAAACGACTTCCGCTACACTCCTACTGCAAGTACCTACTGCGATAAATGAATCAATCCGACATTAAACATACTGATACCATTCCACTACATATATGTATTATGAATTGCATTTATGATAATGATAAAAAAGGTCACACGATTGCACAACATTCTTTTTAAATCAATTCCCCGAATTTGTATATTTTGGTTATTTTCAACAGAGGGCGTCAGTGTTTAAGCGCTATTGTTCTAGACTATATCGACAAGACAGTTGAAGATCTATAATACACTGAACGCGAGTTGTTTCAACTAATGAAAAAGCATGTAACAAATAAACACAGGTTAAACTATCAAGCTTTGATTTTACACTTGATTCAAGACATACAATTTATACCGCGTCTAAATAAATTAGCATTACTCACGCATAGATCTGTAAGTGTGACGCTGTTCGCCGTATAGAAGACTAGCAAATCTGCAGGTAGTCCGCGAGAGCTCGGTTCTCTTAATTTAGACGCCAGGAGTAGACAAGCAGTTCCCAACAGCTGCAATTGACTCTTCCCCACGGTGCATATGCTAAGGAACCGATCCAAATACGACATCGCCAAAGTGAATACTTCCTCCTGGCAGTTCTGGTCTTCGCAAACCTGAGAAAGAAAGTCTCGTAAGTACTTGATAGATTACGTGAGGCCGCACCCAGAACCACTATCACAAGGAATTCCTGATAACCTATATACTCCATATAATTGTAATTCACACAAGTGTGATTACGTTTTCCGTTTGTGGTTCTTATCGTTGCGTTCGTTAGATGCTTTTAATGGTATTTACTTAAGTTCCTCTAGGAGTATTATATCACGTTTTAGAGTTATACGAGTTTCCAGGGCTCCCTCAAAGGACTGTAGTGTGGTGGTGTGTTTAGGAGTTCTGGCCGACTACTGTCTCCGAAGGTATAGTTCCATTTACCAACACCACCCACGTCATTATTATCCAAAGTGGACGTGCATTAGGTATTCATACCATTAATTAAAAAACAAAAGAAAAAAGAAGTATTATGTAACCATAAACAGTACTGTGATTTACATTATTTTACAAGTTTATAAGTTGTACAATTTGACAGTATTTACAGTCTTACGGCTTAATCGCCATATAAGGAAACGCGAGAGAGTGATCTAGCGATCTAGTTAGTTAATAGAGAATGACAGTAGTCGTAAACACTCGGCGCATAGTTTCGCACGGTGTAATCTGAAGCAACGCCTAATACGGATGTTCTATATCTATGCTTTAGATTTGCCTATAGTAAGTTCTGTGATCCCACGCTAGTGAACGCAGTCAGCTGATTAGCTCGTATGTCGGAACGGGATCCATTGTTTTGTTAGCAGATTACAGCAGCAATAATACATCAACGTCATTGTCATTAGGTTTTTGTTCGTACGCCTGTATTAGATTAGTGTTTTTTTATCGTTTCCCATAACTACTTGTTAAATTTATGATACCTTCTTAAATGTTTATTTAATGTTATTTATATCCAGCAATTAGTTAATGTTATTTAAGTGAGTTTGCGTTATTGATCTCTTAACTAAGCTAAGCGATACTAAGCTAAAGAACGGATCAGTGATACGGACACAGAAATATGTTCGCCCCATGCCCCACGAGGGGGAAACGGGAATTCACACACATTTATGACTAAGACTAAGCTAGATTAGACAAGTATAAGTCAATAGACACTATCACTAAAACGATCAGATATTGATAATCGTTAATTAATTATCTTCAAATTAAAATATTTCATCATTACTAGGCTGCTTTATATTTTTGCATTTACACAAAAGTACAGATATTAAAGAGGTAGGTATATAAAAACAGCTGTAACATGAATATTAATAAGTTTGATTCTGTAACTACCTAGACCGTAATGTCATTGAACTTTCAGGAACCGACGTTTTTCGGCAGGGTGACTTGTAATTTGGTATGCGACAGGTTTAACGTTTAAATGGTGGGCAACCATAATGTGTCGGCAAACTTGGTAAAGCTGCGCATGCGTCGCCATCTCGGGGTGACGTCAGCGCCCGCGCCGCTCCCACGTGGCCGCACCGACTTTACAGCTGACTGCATATGGCCACAGATCTATTCTCCTCCTACCACTTCTTATCGATACATACGACACATACGTAATTTAGATATGATTGTACCAATAAAAAAATAAACACCGAGATAATGACGCGGCGTTAATAATATATAGGTTGCGCATGTGTGGCGCTTGTCTAGCGAGAGATAAACGCGCATAAACAGCTGTGTGCGTGTCAAAATCAGCTGATTATTCAAATAGAACGAGCGGCGGTCGGCGACCGGCGTGCGTTCCGCCCGGCCGCAACGGGGCCCCTCGGTTCTCGCGCAGCCACGGCCCTAACTCATCGAGGATATAACACAGACATCACGCAGCTTGATTAACTTCATCTATTCCGCTAAGAATCCTATTCGAATCCAATATAGACATGATCAGCTGTTCATGTAAACAAAGTGATAATCGTATTTTAAAACAATTAACTACCTGTTATACGAACAAGTTTTACTTAAAAAAGCACATAACGTACACAAATTCGGCACTTCTCTCTAGAGATCAAAGATAGCTTGTTATACTCGGACTAGTGCAGTCTAGTGATTCATCAGCGGCGAGGGAAGGCGGTACCTACACGTGGCCGAGTGGTTAGCATGAGCAACAAGATGGCGAACCGGGGTGCGGCACGAGTGCGGTGGCCTAAGCTCACCTCTAACATCCACTCGGCAACGACTCGGCGCATATGCGGGGTGACTTCGGTCTGCACGGTGCCGAAGTAGTTGGCGGTGACTGCGTAGCGTTCCTCCGTGCGCAACAGGTTGTCCAGCACGCGGCGGCGCAGCAGCACCGGGTCGGAGGCGGCGGAGGGCGAAGCCCCGGGCCTCGGCCCATCGCTGACGGGACTCACGCGTTCCGCGCATAACAGCTCCATGCTACACCGCACAGCGGCTTATAGGGCTCGAGTTGTGAACAGCTGATCGGGCGCGCGAGTGGAGCGAGTTTTGTGTTGCGACCGCGAAAGCCCGACTCACAATGGTGCTAGCGACCGGCGACCGGCCGGCGAACATATGATCGGCGGGGCGAGGGGGAGCGGGCGCCGCCCGTGAGGCCCGCACGCAGGTTTCTCTCGACTCGACGCTCGAATAATAATACATAACGCATCCACTCTCTCGCTCTAACCAGATTCTCGCTTCTCGTTCTATTATTTACAAAATGTGATGAATTCCACGGCCCGATAAAAGGACTATTTATGTACTAGTTTTATATACCAGAAGTACCATAAGTAATAATTTACCTACGTATTTACAAACACAATACAATATTCTTTATTGTCACAAAACATTACAATGAAAAAAAAATGATGCAAATTAAGGACAACTGGCTTACTTACTTCATAATTATATTTACTAGATATTAAATCATGAATAATTGCTAATAAATGATAATATAAAAAACTTAAATCTATAAGTAAATTACACATACCAAATAAGGTAGGTATTTCTCAATAGACAAGGTGAATTATTAAAAATTGTTTTTACATTATAAGCAGGTACTTCTGAGGAATCTGTTTGCCCATTCCTTTATGGTACCTATCTGACCACAATCTACCGAAAAGTGACCGTGGTGACAATGTAACGGCGATTTAGTTTTTATTCCAAAATGATATCACTACTACCTGGCATGAGATTGGTTGTTCAATATTCAGACATTTATTGCAGCTTCAGACCTGTTAGGAACGTTCACGTTTTGTTGCTAGGCTAGAAAATAGAGGTAAAACTAATATAGAAACTTATAGAAGTTACAGTTACGTATAGTGACATCTGTGCTCTGTTCTTTCTATTCAATTTGAGTAAAGATATTTCGTATTCTTTATTATTCGTAACTTCTTAATTCTTAATCTTCTTAATTGCAATAAAAGTCAAGCATTGCAGTTATGCTTGATTTTTTATTGCAAATAAATCATTATTTGTCCTCCTCCGTTGAAATTCGTAGTTAATAATTAGATAAAAACACTTTTAACGGTTTAAAACACTCAACATATTAGTGAAATTATAATTATTTCGAAAAAAAATGTTTAGGTTGTAAAATTGTTTAATTAAATTTGATCAGCTTTTTTAAAGAAAATCAAAACGCTTATAAGAAGCGTGATAGTTATAAATAGTATGTTAATGTTTACAATTAGGCAGATCCCCATTAATCTACCCGTAACATCCGCAAACGGTCTCTGCGTTACATACCTTGGGCCTATGTCCTTCAAAAAGGCTTCTATTAAGGTTTCCAGGGTCCCTAGACCACTTTATGAATTTTAAACAGTAGACCTTTATTTCCCTATCAACGTACTAATTTATATTTTCATATTTGTAATATCTTTTTTTTTACTATAAATACTATTCGATATCTTCTGACGGACTCGTTAGTCTAATCGTAGCAATGATGTCTTATGATCGACGACTTATAGGTTCTATCCCCATCGGACCCAACAATGTTTCTAATCTATACTAATATCATAAAGCTGAAGAGTTTGTTCGAACGCGCTAAGGTAGTTAATACTGGTTCGAAATGAAAAATTGTTTTGTGTTGGTTAGAGCATTCATCGAGAAAGGTTTTAGGCTTTAAGACGCTGGGACTAATAGGAGCGAAGAAAGATGGAAAAAACGGGGAAATATTACTAAATAGAATCCAGACAGTATGAAGCGTGAAGTTTAATCGCGTTTCGGGTTTAATCTGTCGATTTCCGAATATTCAAAGCCAAAATAGTTCGATACCGCATTCTATTGAGATGATAAACATATACTTGTCTGTTCTACCCTTAATATATCCGTGTGTTTGTAGTTTATTAAATTTCCTAACGCTTCATAATATTATTACAGTCCACACAAATGGATGTTAACTTTGCACTAGTACTACTTGAAGATAAGAAGAAGTTATTAGTATATATATATAGTAACTATTTATGGAGGTGAAACTCACTCAGTAATTACTTCGGGATAAAAAAACTTTCATGTATGCCAAACGAAGAGATGATTGCCTTGTTTAAAACGTCGCGACGGTTCCAAACTGTTTTTCGCCGAATTCACTTAAGGTATAACCCTCTGGAATAGTAATTGGCATTAAATTTAAATCCGTGAATCTTTTCGCGTTTAAATATAATTGTCATGCCATATTCCTTCATTCTAAACCTAGTCTAGGATAAGTCTCAAGTTGATCTAGGATTTTAAAGTTAATCTGTAATTTAAGAGCTCCGTCAAAAATAATATAGAAACATAAAGTAGTTCTGGTGACCAATGCAACCTGAAAATATAGTTAGCATTGTGTTAGACAGTATAACACATTATTACAATTACATAATTGGTGTATAATTTAGCCAAATGTTTACATAAGATAGATACGCCTTATTCTTTCTAATGTATTCATATTATCGATTATTATGTAGATGTTTTAGAATTAAAATACTTAAGAATCAAAAAGACTGCCAAACTTAGTACCAGAAAAACCTCATTCAAATCCTAACAAAAGAAGACACTTAGATTAATTATATCATTATGTAGTCTTTAAAAGACCACGGATTGATTGCGCTTTAGATGTGAAAAAACTATATGTTAACGAATGATGCTTTGAAAGTTGTGTTACCTTCAGTTACAAATGTCAACGTCCACGAGAGACCGTTGTGACAATACTATTGCAAAATGAGCGGTAATTTTTTATTTCAGACAATGATATATAAGATATCTAAGATGTGGGATATACTCCATGTTTGTTCGCAAATTGACAATTAACTCTAGACAACTAGATAACCACAGATAAACATATATCTGTATGATTTCAAAAAGTCAAAATTTCATACTATCTATATATTTCATCTATAGTTTATCCAATACACATTTTGGGATATTTAATTTCTTATCTGTTGTAGTCGTTTTTAGTGAATCTTAAGATGAACCATTCTTGTATTGTTCGTTAAAACCATTATATTATATCTCGAAAGATGTTTCAAGAACTAATTACGATTGTTCTATATTTAAAAATAACTAAAAGAGGTTTTAACATTCAACAAAGTTAAAGAACAATAAAGAAGCGGATACTTGAAAACCTCTGACCGAATCTGTTTTGAAACTTTCCGCGCATAGTGAAATGAGCTTGAACGAAAACAATGAACAGAATCCTTATTCTGGTAATTCACCGACAATGAGTCGTAAGCGATAACGGACAAGCAATTACAATTGCATTGCATTCCTCTAAAGTAAGCATTATCTAGACTTAACTTATTACTAAGATTCTATTATTGTTTCTGTAATGTTCACTCAGTCTGTACTTATTGATATTGACATATTTTCAAGAATTATATTGTTTAAATTAAAAATCGATTTTAAATTGAAAAAAAAATAAGACTCGGGTAGTTATAAACCGGCACCCACAGCGTTCCGTGCCGTTGCTCTAACCAATTTAGCTACCGATTTTTTTCAACCTATTGATGCATTCACCTCTTGCGCATTGTTACTAATATAATAAATACGTCCATAGTATATATAATTACGCTATTCCTTATTATGATTAATCATATATAAGCCCGTACAACGATGCCTATTGGTTAACATAGTCGTCAGAGTTTAGCCAAAGCTTTGATAGAAAACAAAATGGTTAATGCCTGGCTAGTGACTAGCAATCGAGTGGCCAGTGTAAACGTCAGAATCAGACAGCGAGATTCCAAAACACAGGCAATAAAATGGAATGCCTAGTGCGAGAGGGACGTCACTTTTTCTCAGAAGCACAAATATGCGACTTGGAAGTTGAAACGCGGGATATGGAATGCAACCGTTCGAACAATTGCCTATCCGCTCGAAAGTAGTACGTTAGCACTAAGTATGTACGTATTACACAATAATAGAATGGTACATGTGTACATACTGTCTGTAGTTTACACGAGTAAGTTGAAATAGAAAACTTTAACGGTTTAAAACGCCATCATTAGTTAAACTTATTAGAACATTATTTTACCTACGGCCCGTCGTTTTGGATGCTTTGCAGCAGTCGTGGTCACGGGGAGACGAAACGTCGAGCCGTGTTAAAATAACCCATTAAAGTATTTTATTTAAATGATACACGGCCATTAATGATGATGACAATGCCTGAGCTCTATTACATATTTTTGAGTTGTGCTACCGACCTTTTTTAGCTTTGGACATTCGGATGATCAAGTCATATGCCTCTTTTTAACACTGACCGCTATCGATATTATTTGTATGTATGTCTATATTAAACTTTATGTTTCTAAACCATTTGTTAATCTAAATAAAGTGACACTTAACACTTAGATTCAATCACACATAAGTATAGCTAGCCGTTAGAATTCAAAGTAACACCAAACACATCTCCTATTTTAATTATTTCTAACGCGTATTAACTTAACAGGATATAGTAAATATTTCCGCTATAACATTTTTATCTCTCTATTTGGTTTCACTACTAGAAATTTTTATAATATTAAATATCTATTCAAATTAATATTGTCTTTTGTTTATTATATTTTTAAACTGTAATAAAGTCACAATTAAACAAAGCAGGACGTTAATTACTGAATTTAAATAATTTTTCTGTCTGTATCGTAAATATTCTAAAGTTTTTTTTTGTTATCACAAAAAAATATACAACGAACTATAAATATATTCTAGTTCCAATATCTATTCAATATTTATCGTTATGTTGTTCGTAAAATAATTAATAATAATTACTATCTGTAAGATCAAACAATAAACAATATAAATGATAAAACAATCGACCATAACATTAAACAATATTAAAAAAATCTTTAAACTATAATATATAACTAAGTGCAATTTATTACTCAAATTTAGCTTTTAACATTGTCGATCTTAATTAAACAAAATTTCTCTAGTTTTCGATAGAATAATTAGCCCAAGTTAGTTCGTTACAGAGACGGCTAAATAGACTAGAAATAATGCATTATATAGTAACTAAGAATAGTATAGAATGTAGACAGTCACTCTCTATGTATATCATATTTTATTAAATAAATATTTAATTAAGAGTAACCTCGAGGTTGATTTGTCGAAATGTTTCCTGAAACTAATGTCAATAGGTAATAATCGCACAGTTTTACATAGTCAGGGTCGCGTTGAAAAAAAACGGACTAGAGACGGCAGAGACCATTGACCTGGTAAATGTTTACTGTCCTTGGGCGTCGGCTACGGGCCACGTCCGGACTTACGTCACCCTGGAGGTACCGATGGGTTTCAGTGTAGATTAGTCCTTGGATTTCGACAACGGGCATATTCAAATCAGGGAAGGCATATTATTTACGTAAGAATACAAAACTGTCTGTAGTTCACGCGAGTAGTGCACATTTAAATAAAACACTTTGACAGTTTAAAACGCGATCTATATTAGTTAAATTTATTTGAAAATTATCCTAACTACAGCCCGATGTTTCCGTTGCTTGTAGCAGCCTTTGGTGTTTTTTTTTTTTAAAGAAAACGTCGATTCCTAGTTAAAAATAAGTTTCGCATTTTAAACCGTTCAAAGTGTTACATTTAAACTTTTGACGAGTTATATTTTTCTCCCTTTATCTCTTCTCCTAAACTGGTCTTATGGAGGAAACAAAAATGTCAGGCTAGCAAAATTTACAAAAAAAAATTACTGGGCTTCTTCAAAACAGAACTCACACCTATTATAAGTATCTTAGGTATTTAAATATTAGTATACGTAGTTATATAGAAAATAATAAGGACTTTTAAAACACAATTTATAAATGTAAAATTCATACAATCAAACCATATCATATCATATAAGTAGGTACGTTATAGATTACTAGATCTGGATAAAATTAAATAATATCACCCGCGTGGTAATGAGGTCAACGACCCCGTATCCGGTGCTCAATAAGAAAGCGACAATTTGAGCAAATATAATATATAATCGTTAATTTATGTCTCTTAACAAACCAGCCAGTCTCATATACGTTAATTAATGACACATAAACGCTTCTCTAGAATCCCATGTACTTAAACGATTTTCAACTATTTCTATGAACGCAGCCGTTATGATAAATTATCCAGTCTAGACAGTACAAGTTCGGTCGCCCTTTTTGCTAATTAATTCGTAACTGTTCACTTACTCACTGTGCGAACTATGCATTAACCAGACAAAAACACGTATGTGATATCAGATGTGAATTGAAGGTAGGGCTATGTCGCACGAAGCCCGCGACATACTCCTGCGCAAGGACCGTGTAAGTACAGATCTGGTACTTCCACATAGTTAAGTGCGCGTCACATCGGCTCACACAGTTTTTGCGATGCCGAAGGTCGGTCGAGGCGAACCACGAGCGACTAGCATTCCTCAGACTATGAATGAATAGTTGCCCGACTGGTCGCATTATGTTACTTCAGATTAATTTGACAACAAACATTTCAGTTGGCGAAAACCGGAATGACACTTCGCACCCGCCCCGTGGGAACGGCTCCGCGCTCGTCTCTCTTGATTGTCTGATCGACTTGCTAAGGCGGGTGGCAGATAACTCGCTTGGCTTTAGTGATGTGGTTTTCGGAGCGATCTCTCTTGTAGCTCAGCAACTGCCATTTTTAGGCTTGATATATCAAATTGTATAATTCTATTCTTTTAAGAGAGACAAAGTAGACGCTTTAGAGATATGGTTCTGAAGCAAAATGTTCTAGATGGAACGTTAATCTTCTTGCTTTGCAATTACCGTTTTTGGGCTAGACATATATATAAAATTTTATGAAGCTTCTATTCCGTTTAGAGAGAGCGCAAGGGAGCAAAATGCTCGAAATATCGTAGACCAAATTTCTCGCTTCAATATTAGATATAATTGCCAAAATAGATATCTCGGCATCAAGTAGCACCTATTTTCCAAAGTACTATCGTAAATACTGACTTTTTTCGAATAGATTTCTAGGCATAGCAATTTATTGATTGAACGGCCCGTCCAAGGAAAAATAGAGAATCAGACCCCGCGGCAGGTCGGTAGTTCTCTAAAGCCTACATACCGACCAAACCGGCCAAAGATACGGGCGTTTACGATCTACTCTTTCCTAAGATTCTATTACATTATAATATGTGACTTTTTAAAAATTATAATTGTTTATTTACTGAATTATGCTAAGCTATAAGATAGCTTATTATTCTGAAATGTGCCTAATGCCATGCTCGTTGGAGCTTTGTAAGTCGCTCTTGGAGCCGCCAATTTGCTACGCAACACGATTTCCAATTCACACGTTCTTTTAATTACTTTTTAGCTTAATTGAAATTTTTGTAACATCACAAATTTAAGCTTCGTCTAATGTAGTTACATGTGTGTAAGCCAGGTATTTTCAGTTGAGTTATAATTATTAAATATATATTTATAAACATATATCTAAGAGTGTTTTGCGTATGATTCGTAATACCAGGAAAATATCCAATATTTATGGAAAATGTTATAACTTTAATTGCTTATGCTCGTTTAATAGATACGCATAGTTATTAGTTTATATTTACGTTAATTTAGATAAGTAAAGTAACCACATGTGGTGACTAAACTTTGGCATACTATGGCTAAGTTTAATTTTTGTTTCCAAACATATATTTGGTATATCGATGTGATTTCTCTAATAATTTCTCTCTCTCGTGTAGTAATCTCATTGTTAAAATATTTCAGTTTAACTCAGATCTTGATATGTATGTTTAGATGAGTAATGGACACATATAAACAAGAGTCACAAGCTAGTATTTATGAATTATGGACTAAAGAAACAACAGTTATTGTATACTGTCTATAGTTTACACGAGTAGTACACATTAAAATAAAACACTTTAACGGTTTGAAACGCGATAAATTAGTTAGGTCACGGGTCTCCCCGTGGCCACGGCTGCAGCAAAGCATCCGAAACGTCGGGCTGAAGTTAAAAATCATTTATACATTGAAATAAGTTTAGCTAATTAATCGCGTTTTAATCCGTTAAGGTGATTTATTGTTCTAGTTATTTCAGCATCGTTTTGACCACATAAAATTAATACAAACTAAACGTTAAGGGATATTGTATTCTAGGCATTTACAAATATTACGAGTGTTAACAATTGTTCGTTGTATTTGTACGTGGATAATTTAAAATGAATTCCTAACCAATGTTTTACATCTCCATCAATTTAACAAAAAGGTCTCAGGTAAAAAATACAAATATTCTGAATCGAGATTCCGACGCTTTCTAATTAAGCAAATCGCTTTGGGGACACGACGCGAGGTCTTGGCATTTGTAGCGAACACCCACATTAGGAATATCAGCTCGCTAATAAAAATAATACCAACTACAAGGACGCATTTGAACTTTTTATTGCGGTATCGGATTGTTACTGCTTACGAACAAATTTTGGATCAAAAATTTGTTTTAATTTAACACGATTACAGCCCGTGCACAAAAATACCTTTGGCCTACCATACCAATTGGTATTACCTAATACTTTATACTGTGTAGCCTTTTCTCGTGGTAAGACAGACAAGCATTGTTCACTTGATGGTAGATGAAATACTCCAGCCACAAGACACAAGATGTCGACCTATTTTGGATGTGGATTTACGGAAATCCACAGACTAAAACCAAAAGCGATTAGTGGCTTTTGCAGCTATACGGTTACGGTATTACGATGGTTTGTGACACGCAGTTTCGATATTCCTATCACCTACTTAATATCCAAATTTCCAGACGAAGTCTGACATAATCGTATTTTTAAATAAAACACTTTAACGGTTTAAATGCGATATATTAGTTAAACTTTTTGAAAATGATTTTTAACTTTGACCCGACGTTTCGGATGCTTTGCAGCAGCCGTGGTCACGGGGAAACGTCGGGCCGAAGTTAAAAATCATTTTCAAATAAGTTTAACTAATATATCGCGTTTTAAACCGTTAAAGTGTTTTATTTAAATGTGTACTACTCGCGTAAACTATATGACAGTATATAATCGTATTTATGAAAAATTATAACGTCAAAATGATTGGAAACGTTGGGCCCGATTTCCCCCAATTAACCAAATGCCCTCAACTTCACTCTGTAAAAGGTAATCGCTGGGTCACGATAGATTTAAATCGGCCATATTTGTCTTGTCAAGTTAGAAAAAATATATATACTGTGTATAATTATTTAGTCGGTCGTAGTCAGTTTAATTTAATACCGCATGTGCCCTGTGTGTGTGACTTGAAATGAAATATTTTATAAGGGCATTTCATTCAAGTCCCGCTCCAAATATTACACAGACTTCGTATAATAAAATGATCATATTTGCAAAACGACCGGTAGACAATCTCGGGATGAAAAACAACGGTCCACGAGCCGTTGAGAATTTGAAATTCGACCGTTGCATACCCGATACGATGTTAATGAACTGATGTTTTAAGTCCTGTATATTTACATACAGGATTGAAAAAGTATAACAAGTATTATTACAACTCTTCAGCTATTAGTCAGCGATGAAACTAGGAACAAATGTACACCACATGATGGAGGTCAACATTCGACACGACATTTTAAGTATGAAGTGAACTTGGTCATGTGTTATGGCTTATTATTCTTAACTAGACATGCTCCGCGGTTTTACTCGTGATACAATTAAAAGAAAAACATACACTTTAGCCTATAAGTCTTATAATCCTTCTCGTTCATGCAGTTGCAAACACAATTTTTTTTTACTTATAATCTGTTAGACACTCTGTAGATAAATGATTCAACGTTTCTCTTAACATTGCGTTAAGCACTAGAGCTTTTGGGTTCGAATTCTGCTGCTCAGGTCAGGCAGGGCACAGAAGTCTGATCAACTACTTTACCTATAAATAAAACCAATCAATGAAATGTACACAGAAATGTGTTCGTCCCCTGCACCACGGGGGGTACCGGGGTTTCACCATTTCTTCAATAACATAAATCTGTGTTTGTATTTATGTATATTTTAGTGTAAAATAAATAGCAGCTCTAAATGTTATCAACACCGTTAGTAAAATTTATAAACATACTCACAAACTTTGGTATGAGTACTATTATTTGTATGTTGATGGATCTACGAGTAAACTGCCCCCCAGTTATCGACCCTGAACCCTAAACGCGATGTTTATCTTGTTAGTATCAAAGTACACAATTTCGGCAGATGCTCGCCAAAAGATATGCGATAAGTAAATGGTTAAGTTTGAAGAACTAACCAAGTGCAAATCGGGTTCGTTCTCAAAGAGAGTCGTGTATAAACGAAAATCGGGTTTGACTTTTTTTCTAATAAAACTTTTTATATTCGTATCCATACTTATAGTTGGTCTAATGGTAGCAATGTATAGCTAATAATATGGTCGTGAGTTCGATTCCCAGCGGTTCTATCGTGTTCCTAATTTGTAATTTTTCTGAAACGTGTTGAACTTCTGGTAATCTGGGTATTAAATAGGTGGTAGGATAAAAAAATTCCGTCTGGTGTCCAGAACCCCGTCCACAGATGAAAAAATTGGTCTAGTTTAATCGCGTTTCGGTTTCAGTCTGTGGATTTCCGAATATCCAAAGCCAAATTAAAGTCGAAGCCTCCACCTTCTATCAAGGGAACTCCATGCTTCTCTGTCCTTCTTTATCTTATAAAAATACTAAACATTTCCCTAGAGTTTATTTTACGCGAGTCGTTTTTAATGTATGAAGTTGTGCTAAATTTTAGTAGTAGATAATTTTCAACATCACGATTTATAAAAAATGAAAGGACCAAATTAAGGAACCCTAAAAATTTGTACGCTTGTTCAGGACTAGCAACTCGCGTCGCGATGTCCACAAATAAATAGGGCACTATTTTATATTCACGGAATAGTTCTTTTGAATTATCAAACGAGTTTCGGGTACGAGCAATTTATCATGTTATTTATCTCCACCTACGTTGTATTTCCTCTTTTTAATGTTTGCGGAATAATTTGTGGCAAAAAAAAAATTGTGGAAATCCTTGTTCATGCTTATACTTATAATATACCCGCCTGTATACGTAAAATTTTGATGAGAGTTAGATATTTAAATAAAAATCTTTAACGGTTTAAAAGCCGATATATGTTATTTGAAACTTACTTAAAGTTATTTTAACTACAGTCAGATAGACTCCCCGTGACCACGGCTGCTGCAAAGCATCTGAAACGTCGGGCCGTAGTTAAAATAGTTTTCAAATAAGATTAAATAATATATATCGCCATTTAAACCGTTCAAGTTTTTTCTTTAAATGTGTACTACTCGCGGAAACTACAGAGAGTTAGATATTTAAATAATAGTATGTCTATGTGTATACATATCTAATTGTCTGTATAGACAATTAGATATATTTCAAAAAATTGTATCAAAACGTTTTAAATTGTTTTAGAATAAACATTTGCTAACTTTCTCTTGCTATTAGTCTTTTCTCTTAAACAAATTTGATGCATACGTTAATTTCATTTCAGGAAACTTCAAACAAGAGTACGTTATAATTAATTATAGAGGCACAGTCCATCCCACCAAAACGAGTTCGGATCAATTCGTCGAATGTGTTATGGCCTCTATTTTGAGAACACCCGCTGTGCTCTTATCAGACTTGGGTTGAGCTTGTGTGCTATATGCATACCCCGTCGATG